CATGGCCGGCTCTCTGCTGGGGGCAGCGTTCTTGGCTGTGAAGGCAGAGCGTGCCCTCTGTCACTCATGGCGAGCAGTCCTGTCCAACTGTCTCTTTTCGACAACTTTATCATCAATCTCTTTATTAACAGCTCCGCTGCAGACTGAGAGCGCAAACAAGGACAGTGCGCATGCCAGATTTCTGGAAGGCACACGGCACCAGACACCGTGCAGGGCAAGGTCTGGGCAACGCTGAAGTGGAAGCTGCAGCACAAAACTTACACACTGTTTTAAGAAGTATGGTGTTTATTAAGCCTACTCATAATCAAACTTCTATTTGGGGAGAGGGAGGGAGAGAGGGAGGGGGGAGGTTGTTTCTCAAATGTCAAGAATTGCCCAACTTGCCTATAATTTTATCTTTGTGCCATTTGAAGTGCCCAATCAATGAAGGGTACTTGACCTAATGTTCCATTCAACTTTAATTGTTTTATCTGCTTTAGGTCAGCACACTACCCTAACTGAAGCAAGTGCCACGGAAATAATCTTTGATGAAGTGAAAAGTTTCATATGACGTGTAGACTTTGCGCATGTAAAAATTTACTTAAGTAACCTTATTCCGGGAATTTACTTCTAAAATAGCAAACATGAAACAGGTGTGCTAGATCACAAATAAAACAGATTAAAAGACACTTGCACTTGTAAGCTGTCCAGTATCTGTGTGGGCCACAGTTATTATGGGGCAGTTTAAATGCATTGGCTAGTTTCTTAAGTTAAATAAATGCATGCAGCTTTCCTTACCCAATAAGCTGGGGTTTTTATCACCTTACATCAAAAGTAATTTTCTTCTTCATCCTTTCCTGTTACTTTTCTGGATTTTGTCTTTTATTTAGAGAACGTAATTTACTGCAAAACCCAAGCTTAAAAAAATCTACGTATACCATCAAACATTTTCTCCCCCACCATCAGTACACACTGTTAAATTTGACTTTTTCTAAATTCAGTAGTTTATGAAGCAAAAACTTAATATAAGTGTGTAAGACGTTATTCTTAGTTTATTTGAAACATCGTATTAGAATAGAGATCATAAGAATACTGAGGTAATCAAGAAATCCAGAAAAGCTGAATAGGAACTGTGATCTGCTTAATTCATTAAGCATGGTAGGAAGGAAAAAATAAGTTACCTAAAAAGAGCATTCCAGAATTTATTTAGAACAATACAAATATACCTAAACTTTATTAAAAAACCATTAGAGTTTACATATCAAAAAAAGCAGATGGAATATCCAGCAGTGGTTCACTGTATTATCTTTTTCATAATAAAACATACCCTCTGAAGTTTCATATCAAAGTTTGCATTCTTTCAGTGACAATATTAGCAGATGTTTTATGTTTGTAGGTATTTCAAATCATTAGTTTGAACTTCGTAGACATACCAAACTGCATCTGCCTCTACCAACAAACCCAAAAGGGTTTGTTTCTATTGAAGAGCTACTTAATTCTACTAAGATTATTAAACTAAAACCAGTTTATTATTGACATTTTTCCAATATGAATATTGGATCTGTAAACCAAGTGAATCTACCAAGTATTCGGTTATAATATATGGTAAGTATTGTTCAGCCACAATGATGGCAGAGAGATTAATCACAGCAAAGGTACTTGACTAGTGTGTTCATAAAGGTACATAAATGATGCCAGCATCACTTCAACATTCAAAATACCTTTTGTAGAAATGCACACAACTTCCAAACAGTATCTATTACAAGAGGATAAATATACTCTGTTCAGTCTGGAGGAGATTGAGGGAAGATCTCAGTCTACAACTTCCTCCTGAGGGAAAGAGGAAGGGCAGACACTGATATTTGCTCTGTGGTGATCAGTGACAGGACCAGAGGGAATGGCCTGAACTTGTGTCAGGGGAGGTTTAGATGGGATACTGGAAAAAGGTTCTTCACCCAGAGGGTGGTTGGGCACTGGAACAGGCTCCCCAGGGAAGTGGTCACTGCACCAAGCCCGACAGAGTTCAGGAAGCCTTTGGAGGATACTCTTAGGCACAAGGTGTGACTCTTGGGAATGATCCTGTGTGGGGCTAAGGGTTGGACTCAATGATCCTTGTGGGTTCCTTCCAACTCTGCATATTCTGTGATTCTGTGATATTCTGCTTCCTCAGTAACTACCACAGTAGTTTTTCATGTATTTAAGTATAGGTTGTGGATCAGCAGTAACTACTGCGTTCTTGCTGAACTATTTTTCGTTATTTTAGAGGCTGAAGAACTGTTTTAACTTTCTGTTAATAAAATTCAATTCTCCCATTAAGGTACATTTACTATCAGTTAATTACTACGCAGTTACCATACACTTATAGCTACAAGTTTAAAGACTTTGCAGTTTAAAACAAACAAAAAACAAATCAAAAACCCACAAGAAATGCACTAAGAAGTGCATTTAAGAAGTGGCATGCACACATACTACCTACATCAAGGAAGCACCACTTGAGCTAGAACTCATCAACTCAAATGTCTGATTCAAATCAGTATGTCTGAAGCCATCTGTTAAACCATGGCTTATTAATGTTAATTATTTTGGCTACAACAGTAATTTTCAGCTTCTTGTTTCTGAATTCTTATGAGTCCGTGAACTTACTTCTGGAGGTTGATGAAGGGGAACTCAGAAAAACAATCTATTGAGACCTATTGCCAGTAGACTGAGAAAACACTGAACAGAAATTTGTATATCTACTAGCAGATTTTTATTGGTCAGAGAAAATAAAAGATATGCCATAAATAACATCATCAGCTGTCATGAAAGGAAAGTGTGGTGGGCAAGATAAAAAGATGATTAATCTGTTCTAAACAAAACAAGCAATTACATGCTGTGAAAAATATATACAACACAAAGGTTTATTGTTTTAGGCAGGGCATTTATAATATGAAGACCATAATCACCAGTGGTTTTAGCAGTTAAAGAAATTTTAGTCAAAAGGAGACTACTTGTTAAAGTTAACTCACATCAAGCATTTGGAGGATTGGGCTCATGCTGATACAAAGATCAATCAAGTGATGCACAGCTACTTGTAATTTTTACTTTTATTTCAAGGCACACTCAAACTACTTGACAAGAAGAGAAATAGTGCCATCTGCTGACGTAAGGAATAAGCACTGCAAGAAAAGCAAGCGAGTGGTGCCAAAACTCTTACAGCCAATGTTTCTAAAAAATGAAGTTCAGACTTTTCAAGAAAATAATGTAGCCTTAAATTTTTTAGGCACATGTTTCTTCTAGTTTTGTCAGCTTCGAAGAATTTAACGCTGATTCCTAATCAGAAGAGAAGGAATGGATATCCTTAAAATGTTTTGGGTGTTTTTGAGAATAAACTGTCCCCACCAAGCCACTGAACAATTCGCAACCTTTCCCTTTAACAGACTAGAACTCAATATCCTTCTGAGTGTTACTTCTACCTCCCATAGCAAACACAAATTAATCTTCTTCATATAAGCATTGTGTAGTACTTCTTCTAGGCCGTACTGTATTTTCACTTAGCAGAAAATTTAAGAGCTGAATATGAATTAAGAAAGTAGAATCAATTTAGTGCATTCAGAAAAATCAGACAACCATGGGATTGTGCTGTTTTTTATTGTGTTTTCAATGGAGAAATACATCATCTGTTTACAAAATAGCTCTTGAAAAATACAAGGAGTACAGATACTATAAAACAAAGCAAACTCCAGTCATGAGACACTACGTACATCATGCGAAAGCAACAGTCTGATCTCCAGGTTATGAAAACTAGAATTAAAAAGTCACTATACAGAAAGATTCCAAGTTTCCAGCTTGGCAAAACTTGGGTGCAGTTACATGAAACGTTTAATAAAATGAAAAAGATTTTCTGATGTGTAAACAAAATGACAAGACTAAATTTGTGCCTGGCAATTTCAGTCTAAACTCCATAGCTACACAAAATACACAGACAGCTTGTACACTTCAACTGTTAAGATATAACCTTCTTTGGGGGGTGGACGACAGCAGGCTGCACAGGGCAAGGAAAAGAGAAATATTGTATACTAGACATCTTAGACAAATGGCAAAAAAAAAAAAAAACCCTTCAGTTACTGCACAGCCTAAGTAAAAGATAAGCTACACTCTGACTTTGGAGAATTAATTTAGAAGGATAAGGGGAAGAGTGTAAGTAATTTAACTCTAACATGAAAGATGCACGTGTAATAGGATGGAGCACAATGGGAGAAGGGAGTTCGTAAAACATGCTAATCAAAGTATGGGAAGTATGATTTGACATCCCACATACTTCAGACTTAAGTAATAGTAACATGAAGTTTGTTATCTACATCTGGTATTACTGTTGGTATCCCTCATGTTCCTCAAATACTGCTGTTCTTTGCCATGAGAGCTTCAGTTTTTCCAAAAGAAAAAGGCTGTTATTTTTTTGATAGGACTACAAGAACAAAAAATAGGAGTAAGAGAGCTTATTAGATGTCAAGTGCTTACTAGAAATATGATTTTTAAAAATTCGGTGTTGTTCAGTATGTAAAACTATTTCTGATGAGCCATCTAAAAATAAAAAGATTAAAATTCATCGGGAAAACTCTTTTCGCATTCATTTAAAATTTGAAGCTTTTTAATGCATACAGGACCTTTATGGAGTGTACAAAAATCATCTTATATTTAGTGATTCAAAGGCCATCAAGACAGGTGGTGTATTTTACAGGCACGCAATATTTACCTAAACACTTTAGTCATGGGACAAATTTTGAATTTGTGCCTAGAGGCCACAAGGTATTATGACTAGGTAAGAGGCAGGGGGGAACCCAAATGAGTACATGGCTTGTTTTTATTTTGTATAAATAACTGTTGTCCTATATGGTGCATACAAGCTGAAAAAATAATTGAAAAAAAAAAAAAAACAAAACAAAACAAAGCCAAAAACCACACAAAAAAACCCCCCAACATAAAATGCAAAAGCTTTTCCCAAGAAATAATGGGATCAAAAAAGGGAATAAGGAGTTCAATTAGCTCAAAAGAAAGTTTATTTACTGTTCGATTGCTGATCTGTATGCACCTTAAAATAATCCTATAAATAAAAGTAGACCACATCTTAATCATGTCCCACCAATACCAAAACTTCCCAATTACTTCCTCAAGTTATGTCTTATAACCCCAAGATTTGACCTTACATTTTAAAGACTTACTGCTGCTTGATGGCAGTTGAAGTAAATATACTATACACTTTGTTTTCAATGTATAGTATGTCACAGAATGTCATCCAATTTGCAAATTACTACTATTGAAGAGATTCTTCAATAAAATGAAAGTGTATCAGCTAAAGATCTAAAATTAGTCATACTCCAATAAAAAAAGTACATAAAAGTGCATTTCAGGGATTCTTATGCCAGTTTTATCTCAATTTTGAAACAATTCAAACAAATTCAATCAGAATGTCAAATATGGCTACAAATAGTGTTCATGTTTTTAAAGGCAGTAATCCTTCGAAATATTTAATGCAACTGTTGCTAACACATTAATTGTACTCCTGGCTTCACATACTAACCTGGACTTCCAATCAAGTGGCAATTTTAGTCCAGAAAGGGAAGTGCACAAAATATACCTACATCCACTTGCGATTATGTTCTAGTCTTGCACCCTCCATTCTCCTCTTTTTCTAGCATTAGAAGACAACAGGTTGAGTTGGCAGATACTGTTTATGGACCCCTGAGGTTGTTTTTACCGGTTCAATCTCAATTTTATTGAATTCTTGATAACAGGAATAGGATTTGCAGGGAGAGCAGGGATATCTGAAAGGTCTGTACTGGGTGTTTTCTGAAAAGAAAAGAAGAAATTCAGTTGTATTTTAACTTTGTAGATATTAAAAGAAAAAATTTGTAGAAATTGGTATTAACTTTCAAAACCAATATCTTTAGAACACTTTTTAGGAATATATGAAGACAAGGATAATTACAAATCAAATACAGAAACAGATATTTCCTTTGCCTACATAGTCTTTACTAAAGAAAATGTGTGCAAGAGTCTTTGTGTGCATTACCCTTTTTCAACAACTGCAAGAAATTAGCAAGTGCTGCAGATCAAGATGAGCCTACTAATAACCTGTATTATAGTAAAACATAATATCCACATAATAAGGTTGCTTGATAAGTGACATCTACTATCTGATCTACATGTTTAGTATTTAAAAATGCCTTTTAACAATTCAGTGTTAAGTCTCTGCCCCTTATAGATGAGTGATGAAAAGCTGTCCCCAATGTAGAGTATGTGTTTTCATACATTCACATTCCTAACTGTTGAAAATCTCTTTACAGTCAAATTTCCAAATTTTTCATATTGGTTTATATTTATGAGAAAAAAGGTATGACAAACTTCACAAAACATGCTGTATGAATGAGTTAAGAATTCCACCTTGATAACAGTCTGAACACTTTTTTCTCATTTAAGACTTAAATACCATTAAGCAAATTGTATCTAAAGCCAACTAAAGGAAAACACAGAAAAGAAACTCTCTCAAGACTGGGTGTGATTCATTAATTTTTCAATTGCCTTACATGCCTTTAGCATTGCGGTGGGGTTTTTATTAACTTCTAAAGTATTTTCTCTTCCACTGCGGCACATTATTTGCCATCCCAATAACCCAGTTATTATGCATTACTTCATGTCCTTTATCATAAAATGTCTTATGTTATAAACATTCAAAATTAATGTAAGGTACCTTTTATACATGCTGCATTAAAAAGCTGCATTTAAAAGCTGCATTAAAATGCCTGCTCTAAAATGTTGCCTTATTCAGAAGAAATCAAGTGAGTTATGAACTGTTAACACTGGCTGATCAGTAGCAAAGCACAATGCAACAGGGACCCAGGGCAAAACAGATCTGACCCCTGCCTTGTCCCTGTCCCCAGCAACCCCCTCTGGTCAGTGCTGATCTGTGGGTTGACATGTCACTATGTTCTGCAACATGGGCAGTGTTTTAAACAAAGCCAGTGAGAACACAGAGAGGACAGAAGAGGCTCAGCGTTCTTTTGTAGTTTCCAGATTACTTTTGCTAACATAACAACTACACAATCTGAAAAAAAAAGCTACAAAGCTTTACACAATCACCCCTTAACAACAGACAAAATAAACTTGGTATACTTACTAAATGATCAAAAAATTCCCTAAAACAGTTCAGAGAGCCCATATAGCATCTACAGTTTTTCCCAAACAATTTTGTTATCTTTATGTTCAGTACTGTCCATACAGTTCAAAACATCCAATAAGAAATACTATTAAATACTATTGCAACAGATCCCCATTTTCAACCAATATATTTACTACACATTATTTAAGGATTCAAGTGTGCATAAAATGCTTTGTGATGAAATTTTAATCATAGAGCACTAAGAGAAGCTTAAAAATGCTAGTAAGATGGAGATGTGCTCTCTAAAAGTTGTGACAAAAAAACAACAGAAACAAAAATTTAAATGAATGGCACAGAATTCTATGTGTCTGTTTATCCAATGAACCTTACACTGTTAACACCTGCACTGAAGCAACACAGCTAGCTAAGGCATGACAAGATCACAACTTCTCTCTCATACCGAATATCAGAATCTGAAGTCACATTTCAGACATTGTCAACCTCTACCTGGATATCTTTGAGCAGCAGCTATTTAAAGCATTTGTTTCCTTGTTAGAAAGGATTATTCTGTGATGTGCAAAAGCACAAAGGAATAAACTGAGCCCCTTACTTTGAAGGCACAATTCAGAAGAGCGAATCCAGCTTCGGTCAGTTTGTATGGCAAGCCATACATATTTAGCTACAATGTACATTCAATAAGATCAATGACCATCTAAAACACAAAAATTGTGACAGTAACAACAAGTTTTTCATACAATGGATTTAGAGTTAAAATTTTACATTGATTTTTAGCATCCAGACTCATTTCAATTTCAACGCTTTCACCACAGATTAGTGCACACACACATGGAGGTATTGCTTTTAAAAACAGTACCTGAGGAGCTTGCAGAGAAGTTGTCTGAAGAGTTTCTGCTTGAGAATTAACATTCACTTCTGTCTCAGGTTGCTCCTGAAAAAATTAGAAGTATCACCACAGTTACACCATTTCACACTAAAAAAGCTACTTATATAGACCTCCACTAAGCAGAATGCTTTATATTGTGCATATATAGCAAAAGAAAAAGGCAAGCATTGGTGCTTGCTGCCTTGATACTCATCCTTTTATAATGTAGGAATCACCACACTAGAGAATGTTTCCCTGATTAGGAATTCAACATCAACACAAGCTACATCACTTCTCAGTTGTCACTTGTTTAACCACTTAACACCTTTTATACAGAATCCTATAGGAAAACATTAATAATTCAACTCAAGACAAAAAGTGTAATATCAAGGAAGACTATGTGAAAAGCTTCAGAATTTGTTGGAAATTCAACCGCATTTCCACTACTTTTGCCACTCTGCCAGAAAGGTTTTCCTGCTGCTTCAATGGGTTCAGTCAGCTTTCTAAATTAATAGATGAGTATCAGAGCCTGTTTTTCAGGTGCAACAGTAGGACTACAGGGCTAAAGCAGGACAATGACACATTCTCATTTTAATAAAAGGAGTCTATTAGTTAAAATTGTACCATTTAGTAACCATACTCTAAAAAAAGTGTGTATTTCAATGGAAGAAAACCTATGTCTATATTAACTAAAAAATTTCACTCCTCCATTTCCTTCCATGCATATGAAGGACAAAAGATTTAGAAGAAACTGCCAACAAAAGCTAACAGGATTACCTGTGTCTTTTACATTGACCTGTATCCAGAGAACCTATTTTCGAAGTGAGGATTAAGTGCTTACATGTATTTCAGCCCTCACCTGTTTTAAGTTCAAAGAGATTTCAAGGTGACTACATAAGATACAACTCCTCACTTAAGGGAGTTGAAGCTATAAACCAAAGCACTTTAACATAAGTTCGAGAATATTTTTCAGAGTATTCTGAAGACAATAGAACATGCCTAAAAAAACTGTATACACCCAAGTGGAGAGCTGCTATCGGAAGGCTAAAGAGAGACTGTGACCCTTTCTGTTCACCACTAAGCAGAAAAATTGTCTGCTAAATTACAAGATACTGGAGGGGCACATTGCACCTCTGAAATCCCCCAAAGGTATGCTGTAACTTCACAAAATAATTTCACTGCCAGGAAAGATTTACCATCACTTGAAATATTTTATAGTCTAAAAAGTGAACAAGGCCGTGCCCAGTTTTGGGATTCTCAGTTACACAGGGTAACTGTTCTTTAACTAATTAACATACATCAGGTTTGGGTTTTAGGCAAAACGCAGCATATTGACAAATCCCTTCCCCGATTTAAGAAAATGATATATAAATATCACTAGTTTTTTCACCTCGCATAACACCATGTGAATGACCAGCAAAGAAATCACAATCCTATGTAACTTAGGCTCAACTTAGCCTGGCAGCAGGTAATGGACTCCAATTCATCAATACTGACAAACATCAAGAAAATAACATTCGTTTTGATATCTTTACTGGAGAGTCTGTATCTCCACACACCCTTAGCCATTCCTAGAGGGAAACACAATAGTTTTCACAAGGAAGAGTCCAAATTAATCTACAAAAAATTATATAGTCTAGTCATAGATACCTTAGCTTCCATTTTTTCATGTTCATTCAAATCTATACAGCTAGTATCTTCACTTATTTCATCCTGCTGAAATGCAAACACAAACTATTACAAAACATAATGAAATTTTTTTTAAAAAATCAACAAGACAATAAGGTCATAAAGTGGTTTTGAGTACAGAATTAGTTGTAAGACTTAGCATGTTATAGTCTTACCAAAATAATTGCTTTTAAGACGAGAATTTAGCACCTAAACATTTGTGCTAATGCAGTACACGTGTCACATTATGAATATCAACCTAATAAAAAATACTAACACCTTAGCAGGCAAAAAACATCAAGCACAAATGCAATCAGAGTAGGAAATATCTGAAATACGAGAATCAGCACTCTGTGGGTGAAATGAATATTCAAAATTTTGAACATTGCTGTGGTATGACTTCAAAATCTCAAATACCTCTTCCATTTTAATTTTCTTAGGAGACTCTTCTTTATGGGGAGAAGATGTCCTTTTCACTGCTGTGACAGGGCTAGGCATTTTTGTTGCAACATTTCCTGAAGTTCTTGGTGATGGATTTAATAGATACGCTGAGGGAACAATTCTAGAGATGGTAGGCTTTGGTGGTGGAGAAATGGCTGGTTGTGTGGCAGTTTGAGGAATGCTTTCATTTGAAGTACCTATGGATAAATAATTTAAAGATCTTCAACAAGATGAGCTGGCACAGTCATTTCAGTTCAATCACTGGTATTTCTGGTCTCTATTCAAAACCACTGGTATCAAGCAGGCACCAAGGAAGAGGTACAGTTAATGGTATAAGCATCAAGTTTGGAACAGCAGGTGTGCATACACAGCACAGTTCAGTTTCAAGTTCATTCTTGAGCTTGGGTGCACCCTCAGCAAGTCTGCTGACAACAGCAAGCTGTGTGGTGCAGCTGACACGCTGGAGGGAAGGGATGCCATCCAGAGGCACCTGGACAGGTTTGAGAGGTGGGGCAATGCAAACCTCATGAAGCTGAATAAAGCAAAGTGCAAGGTCCCACACCTGGGTCGTGGCAATCCCAGACACACCTACAGGTTGGTTGGAGAAGTGACTGAAATAGCCCTGAGGAGAAAGACTTAGGGGGGATGGTTGGTGAAAAACTCAACACAAGGCAGCAGTGTATGCTCAGAGCCCGGAATGCCAACGGAATCCTGGGCTGCATCAAAAGGAACGCGGCCAGCAGGTCGAGGGAGATGATGATACTCCCCCTCTACTCTTATGAGACCCCACCTGGTGTACCGTGTACAGTTCTGGTGCCCCCAACACAAGGACATGGAACTGTTGGAGCAAGTCCATAAGAGGGCCACGAAATTGGTAAGAGGACTGGAGCACCTCCCCTACAAAGACAGGCTGAGAAAGTTGGGGCTGTTCAGCCTGAAGAATTCATAGCAACATTCCAGTATCTGAAGGGGGACTACCGGGAAGCTGGAGAGGGGCTCTTCATCAGGAACTGTAGTGACAGGACAAGGAATAATGGGTACAAATTGAAAGGGGAAAATTTAGGCTAAATATTAGAAGGAAATTTTTTACTGTTAAGGGTGGTGAGACACTAGAACAGGTTGCCCAGGGAGGTTGTGGATGCCTCAATCCTGGCAGTGTTCAAAGCCAGTTTGGATAAGACCGTGAGCGACCGGGTCTAGTGGGAGGTGTCCCTATAACAGGAGGGGGTGGGACTAGATGATCTTTAAGGGTCATTCCAATCCCTTACCAGTTGATTCCAAGGGAGAATTCCTGTACCAGACCCAGGGTAGCCATGTTACCGACACTCTACTTAGTCTAATTAACCCTGCTTAACAGCAGGCTATCCTAGCACAGGCAAAGCTCTGCACTAATACAGCTGTGTTATTCATGGTACCCAAAGAAGTTTTACTGCTTCTGTACTCAGCCACAGTGCATTGCCAAGAATACCTTAAATCAAATCCAAGAGCAATCTGCTACTCGCTTTGTCAATCAAAAACAAAGTTTATCGCTTCTCAGGCTTAGATTATGTGATGACAAATATGAAGTCATCACAGAGCATCAGAAAAAGAACTCATATTATATACACCCTTTTGAAAAATGCTCCATATGATAGAGCTCTATCTTATCAATTGCCTACCTCAAACCAATAAGCACACATAGGGAGATGCTCCAGGATGAGCAAAAAATACACTGAGGAAATTTTTCATTAACAACTATCAGGTGATTAACGTTTTCATTAACCAGAACACAAGAATGATAAACTGATATGCTCTTCCAAAACCAAAAACCAGTCATGTCATTTAAGCTGAATTTAGTGCTCATGGACACACTTACTCATTTTGATGCACCTGTGACATGATAGAAACCAGAAAGAAGTAAGACTCCACCATCCCACATGTCAAGACTGAAATGAGAGATTTCATCTTGAAAGGCTAACCAGTTGCTACCCTTTTCCATCTATTTTTGACTTGCTCCTTGTACACAGCTAAAGCTCCATCAAAAAAAAGGAGTAGCTGAGTCTGCTAAGAGAACATTTTCATCAGATGCTTTTATTCTTTGATTAAAGAGTCAAATTTTAAAATTTTTTTTCAAGTAAAGTGTACTTTTTCTTGAAGAAAATGGAGGATAAAATCAGCACACACAGTGGGACATATCTGAACAGACATCAGTAAGGAACATGTGTTCTGCTTACATCTGAGTCTTTTTCATTCCTAGAATCAATTTCATGAAGCACAAGGAGCAGGAACAGGGAGCACAGACTACAGACAGTACAGATCCATCGCGAGTATAACTACAAAATGAATTAAAAATAAATATAAAAATTGCTCTTCCAGTTCTAAATCGTTTTTCCTCATTTAACCAAATGAGCTACAGACCTGCAATAGGTCATTGGAAAACTACTGTTATTGTGAATAGCAGATATAAATCCCCAAGAACACAAGAAATAAACAAAATGGCATAAAATATTTTAGCATGATTTTCTGAGTCCTAAAGAAATTAATTAAATCTGTGTATCAAGAAGAACACGTTACAGCATGTGCTAAGACTACGAGGCTCAAACTGGAAGAAAAACTGCCATACAAACTTTACTAAAATAATCAATAGAAACAATATGCTATGCCATTTTACTTACCCCCTGAGCTTTCACTGGAATTTATTTGTGGCACAGTGACTTCAGAAGCCTGTGTGTTGGTCACAGATGCTGCTGTTACAGCTGGCGCAGGACTGCTTCTGCTAAAAAGAGAAGAATTATGAAATGCTGAACACAGTAGTGAAGCTGTGGTGCTCCATGGCCTGCCTGGCGTGGTCAGCAAATGTAGTTGATATTTCACCCACATTACAGGTGGGTCAGTAAAAAGATTCAAATGAGCACTGGCAATCTACTACCAAACTTAAGCAATGGAAGCTATTTCAAATACTTAATTTAAATCACTTCAAGGATAGTTTATTAGACCAGGGAGAAGCTGCATTTTATAAAAAGGCAAAAATTAAGGCAATGTCTGCCCAAATAAGGTACAGGGGAAAACACAGCAACTACTTCCTGAAGGATGAAACAAAACCAGTGTACAAGAGCTAAAACAGAAAGTTTGTTTTTAATCTACACACGCCATTACAACAACGATTTCAGTCTGGACTTCCCAAGCAAAGGCCTTCCAATCACCAAAAAACCGTTCTTTATTTAATTTTTAAGAAATTAGGAAGCACTGTGTGCCTAAAATCAACAGGCCAGTATCCACTTGAAGTGTGACATCTTAGATATCAGAGACTTGTTTTAATAGCACAGTAAGTGTTTACCATTTACCACTTTATCATTTACCAAGGAAGACTAACTAAATAAGCACTGGCAAAAGTACTAAGTTAAATGAAGTACTTCATCTTACACAGTGTCCTATAGTTTTACATGTAATACTTCAGAATTGTAGGAGATTGATAAGTTCTCTAGTGTAAAAGACGAATATGAGAGTCTTGAAAGAAGAGAGTAAATGTCATTTATTTAGGCAAACTTGAATTTAGGTAGGAAAAGACTTAATACAGAAAATTAGAGTTAAGAAAAACATACTTTGAAAATACGATGCAAAATTATGTTCCTAAGTTTAATTTGCATAGATATTATCAGTAATAGCAGTAGCACTACTGACTTCCAAGACAGAAAGACTAACTTCTTTACTGTCTCACACTTGGATCCAAAACTCATGTAACACTTCCTCACCTTCTCACCTCAATTTCCTCCTCACTGTCTCTCATAGCCTCCTACTGCAGCACCCATGTTTTTAGATCATTGTGCTCTTCTAAGCATTTTTATCCCATTCCATAATTTCTCATCTGAATTACTGTTATTGTTGTTGTTGTTGTTATTCTTATTATTCCAGTGCCATGCTAACTATACCCAAAATTTAGACCTGCTCTAGTGCTCCACTTGGAAATAAGAGTGTCTGCAATCTCCAGTTTGGAACAGTCACAACCTGGTAACTGTACTCACTCACGCAGTATTTGCCATGCTTTTAACACAAGGAATTCAGGAACTGAGAGCAGCAACAAGACTGAAAGCTTCCATTACCCCTGAGAACTTCCGGAACTGTTCAATGGACTCGTCTTCATAGCACTAGTAGGCGAAGGCACAGACGTGCTGTTATCACTGTCCATAGACAAGTCGAGGCTGCTGTCATTCAGAGCTGTCAACCTGATCCCTTCTGTTGAATGCTGCAATCCACAAGGCAAAGGAAAATTCCATTAGTCTAATTAAAGGCTTTAAAATCAATGGAGATTCAGGTAATTTCAAAATGCAAACATAAACAAACAATTTCCAAGTCCTTTTACATGTAAGTAATCCACTATCCTGTCACCACAAGTATTTACATTTTCACGTTCACAACTCTGGTACAGATTTGTCTGAACCAAACATGTTCAAAACCAGAAACTGCTGTGGTATTTAGTAATTGTATTTTCAGCTTTATTTCAATTTTCTTTGATTTTTGTGGACTTTTACTAACTTTAAAGTAACCGATGTACATCAAAACCACAATTAATAACAAGAATTTAGAGACTGATTTGAACTTAGTCTGCGGAGAAGAAAAGCCCTTCTCTGACACAGAACTACATAGAGATGTATTATTAAACATTCACATTGTCCTCTGAAACAGATCTACACTATGTCAATAAAGACTTTCTATTCTTTAAAACAGCACTTGATATAAAACAGTTAAAGACAGAAAAAGTATGTTATTCAGATACACTTAACACAGAATATGTAACACTGGTTTAGCTATCCAAAAAACCAAGCAAAACTGTAGTTTAAACTAATTAACTATTAGATTAAACTAATACAAAGCAGCAAGGATTTTGAAATAGAGTGAACTGTTCAATTCAGTGTTCCAATCCCTTCTTCCTGGCTCCACTGAAAGTAAACAATATCCAGCACAGCACCTCAGTTAAACACCATTGCTACCATTCTCAGATACGGCCACAGGTTAACTAAACTATACACTGAGGGAGCAAATCATCCCAGGCAGGCAATGGGCAACGTTCTATGTTAAAACTCCTATTTAATCTTTTAATTAAAAGAGCATACGATATCAAAAGTTGCCAAGTTGCAAGTTGAAGAATACTTTCCTTGAAATTATCCCTAATGATTCAATATCAGTTACAGCAACAGACTATTCTGTTAAGAGACAAAAAGGCAGCAACCAGTTCAACATTCCACTCTGTTTCTATTTGACGATTTGCAATTTTAGTTTTAGGGAGGAGCCTGAGAGAAAAATCTAATATAAGAAGAAAGAGCTGGAGATAGAAGAATCCCTTGTCTGTTTGTTCTATTGTACTGTTACAGATGCTTCCTTTAGGTAATCTGCAGGTTAAAATGCTGAGAGATTTAAACCCTTATTAATTACATTGTATTAAATCTGTTAAGGAAGGTAAACAAAATATAGTATTTCAGCCAGACTTGAAGATACTATCCATGTTGTTGAGGTTCTGGGAAACCTAATGTTATATTTAGTGCATGTAGTAATACTGCTACGGCCAAAGGAGATCACACTGCAGGTAAAATTAGGATTTTAAAATGTGATTTTAGTTCTCTGATTAGTAAGTCTAAAAAGTTGAGGAATCATTTCTCAATGGTATTTTTACTGCTCTCAAATATTAGCCAAGTTTACCTTTTTCTTTTTCTGAAGCACGTGATTAGGTAACAGTTGGTGAAGTTGCTTACGTTTCACATGCCTTGCAGCAATCTTCATATCCATCTCAAACATCTTGCTGTTTATTGCTTGCCTATAAACTACACAATTAGAATAACATTATGGCATATTGAAGCATTTTGCAAAGTCCAGTTATTTGCCCAGGCAGAAACAAATTGCATTTAAGAGTATTTTTTACCTTCAAGAACAAGGAAAATGTTTCCTTGTTCTGGAAGAAGAAAGTGAACTGCCTACTATGCCAGCACTGACAGTACAAACACAAACGTTCCTTCAGAAATAGGTGACCTGTTTTCCAAGAAAAATATCTTGCAAGCACACAGTTCTCTAAACTGTTAATAAATTTTATCAGTTAGAGCTCTGAAGCAAACTGTTCATTTCATCACAAAGTGACTAAAGATAGAAATAAGACTTCCTCATAAGAATTACAGTATTTACAAAGAACTGTTTTCTTCACAGTTGATTTTATTAACACAGCTCCTGCAACCAACAGGTTCTAATTCAGGCGCTGAATGCTTGTGTGTCAGCTAATATATTAACAAATCACTCTGGCTACTCATATACCACTGCATTTTTATACAAAAATTATTTATGTTCGGGTTTTCTTCTGTTTAGTTGGGGTTTTTTGTTGCTTTGTTTTGTTGTTTTTTTTTTTTTTTTTTTTTTTTTTTTTTTTTTTTTTTTTTTTTTTTTTTTTTTTTTTTTTTTTTTCATCTTGTATGGTTGTTTTAGTGGTTTTGTTTGTTTGATTTTTATCTACTGTAATAAGCCATTTCTCTTCACCTCAGAACATCTTCTGGTGAGTCAACATGGTAAGTGCTAGCAAGGGAACTGCAACCCAGGATCCTGGGTTCAAGTAAAGTCAGGTAACAATGAAAAACCTGACCTTTCACACCAACTATCTACACTATGTTGAACAAAGCTGTGGCAGATGTATGAATTAAAAAATCATTCTGTACATCTTAAATACAAAAAATTAAGGAGGTATCTCCCTTATTCACTGTCTAGTTCTACAAACATAAGGAATCTCAGTGAATAGGCTGTGGAGGTGTAATTATAAAAGTGTTAAAAGACAGGCACACAAAGAGCTCAATGAATATTGCGTATTAAAGCGTATTACACTAATTCTTGGTATTGAAGCAGCTTATAAAGCCTCTTTGTAAAAATTACATAATTACAGTTAAGGTAGGAGCACACTCAGCAAAACCAGACACAGCTAAAGCATTTCATGTTCCTGACATTAGGTCCTACCAAAGTTTCCATACAAGGAAAACCTCACCCACTCTTCACATCTCTCTTCCTCCCCTTGTTCTCACTCAAAAACAACCTATTCCCTAATTTTATCCTTGAAAATGCTTTGTTAGTTTTAATAAAATCTTGGGGTTCAATCCAAAAGACAGGGCAAAGAAGTCTTTAGGATAAATTAAAAACAGTAAAGACAGATCCACATTAATTTCAGATTATAAAAAACCCCACCAAGACAAACAGAAATTTTTTACTGGATTGTTATTTCAGGGAGAGTATTTACAAATTGAAGCATCAGTCTACAATGATTTTGATGAAATGCTACTCCATTTAAAACTGCATATATTTAGACAAACTTCAGGAATGCAGTGCAAGGAAATCCCATTCAAAATTACAAAAGTAAGTTTAGTCTTTTCATATCAAAAATCTCTGACAAGCATATGATTGAAATGCCTGTTTAAAAACAATAAAAGACCTGAGAAACTAACTTCTGACTTCTTTTACTCCTTCAAAGCAGCAGCCAAGGTATTATGCCTTCTCTAAATTCTCAAAAATTAGGATATATCTATCGTTTATTAGATAAACCTGCCAAAGCTATTGTTCCTTACACCCGAAGAGTCACATTCTCCAGTTGTTACCGATTCTTTGCTTACAAACTTCTTATGTGTATTCCAAGTTATCTTTGTGAATCAAAAAGTAAACAACAGAAAAATCAAAAAGCTTTTTTGCACTGACTGTTGGGCATGAAAGTAAAAGTTACTGAATCAATTATCTAGCATAAAATGTCATGGAATTAAAGATGTTTTGTTAATCCACTGATAAATTAAGCTGATAAATTTACAAAAATATTTAAAATTATACTCAAAAATTGAGGTTATGCTTGCTAGTTCACATATGCTAACTACTTTGTTCAATAAAGATTACAAAATAATGTACCACTTCTAGTGAGATCTGAAGATGGGTGCAAAATTTGTCACTTTTAATGAAAACAAACAGAAAATGGTTAGTCTGAAGTGTCTAGGAGCATTAAAACTCATTGAAAATAAGTTTCTTAAATAATACCCTAAACTCTTTAGCTGAATCTTTCTACTCTATGTCTAGATACCATTCTACTACTATTGTGAACATTTCGAATAAAGACTATACATTTTGAACAAAGACAGTAACTTCAAGTTTATCAACATCAGAACATCTAGAAAACAAAACTCACCTGTGTCTGTGAAAGACTGAATGTCGTAGGTAAGATCGACACTTAAATTTTCAGAATTTTCAGTTTTCTTAAACACCAATCCAATCACCCACATTGTACGGTATTCTTCCCTGGAAAATTTTATATAAAACAGTCATGTAATACTAACAGAATTAAGTAATTTAATAACATATCTGCTGCAAGAGACAACAGCTGTACATTTTAGCTCCACTAGCAATGGGAAGCTAGCCATAAAAACACAAAACCCAAAACTGATTCAACAACATGCCCTTTTCATTCATGATATAAAAAAAGTCTTGAAACGGTAATATTTATCCCCAGCAAATGAACTAAGATCATCGTCAATATACTTCAACTGTGCTCCTGTATAGATTCTCTCCTGTAGCTACAACCAGTCACTGCAACTATAAAGAGATCTTCAAGTAATTAGAATCTACTCCCCAACTAAGCAACTTTCATTTTGCCACCTAAATGTGTCTTCATTGCTTAAATTTCTTAGCTGTAACTGCCCACAAATTCCCCTTCACATTGGAAGGTGAAAGAACGTACTTAGTATACACTGGGAAGATGACCTCTCCTCTGAAACAAGAGCTAACCAGAGCCTGGGATTATGCAGGCAGTTGTAGCTGCATTTACCCACTAAAATGGTGCTGAGAAGGTACTGCCTGCTTTTGTTCAATTTCACTTGGAACTTGCATGTAATTTATGTATGTAACTTCTAAAAAAAAAAAAAAAGGCAGCACCATCCTGTCACTTGAAGCAGTTGACGCATGGAAAAGGCAAAGAAGGCTTTTCACATATTCCAACAAAGACAAATCTCTTCCCCATTCTCACACTTCACACAAAAATATGATTCTTTACAAATTAATTACACCACCACCTAGAAATAAAATAAATTCTTAAAGAGAATTTGCCCCCACACATCTGCAATTGCCGCTTTGAGTGAGGGAGGAGAGGGTGGCAGAGTGGGGAAGGAGTCAAAAAACATTTAAAATCCTGAACAATCTGAATATTATCTTCACTGTTTCCTGACAAATTCTTTCATCAGTCATTATGATTTCAATTATACGCATCTCAACTGCTAAATTTTGTAACATTAAATATACTTAGTTACTCAAGAGTTTGGTTCTGCAGTGCCTATGTTCTGCTCAATTCTCAGAGCTGCCTCGTAATTAAAACAGCATCAGATAAACAGCAGTAACTCATACAGGTTATTGGTAAGAAATTATGCAATTAATACAGCTATTAGCTATTTTTTTGTTTAGAAACATTCTTTTACAGAAGAGCTAATTCCTCAAATGGTACTTGAGAAGACCTTAAGACTGTTTGCCTTTAGATGCTGTCATTAAAAATTAACTTTTAAAGTTCTAAAGATTAATTTTTTAATTAATTTGTATTTAAGTTAGCTCCTCCCTATTACATGAAAAAATGGCTTTGCTTACTTGTCAGGATTCTCCTTGGGTGCTGGGAATGACTGTGGATTCACATGAGCCAGTGTAATGAATTCATTCTTCTCCAGGTTTCCAACTAGAATACGGATTTTTGATTCCACCAAGCCCACCCTGTATAAATGTCATTCATTAGCAAGATTTCATTAATAGGGAATAATAGGATATCCAATATCATGTATCAGGATAAAATCCTCAACATTCTCATTATACTTATATTTGAGACTACTAATGAACTAGTACATATGTCAGATTAATTCACATCAATAAACCCAGTGAAGGTGTTACAAAAACTGATGCAAGAGAAGTTTAAGAATGCCCTGCAGCTCTCTCTATGGCCTAGTTTTACAAATGGAATTAAATAGCAACACATTATGCATCAAGTAAAGGGCAGTCAGCAAGAAACTACTACATATTTATCCAATATTCTTTTGGCTTCAGATGAATTTTAGAGTAGAAAAAAATTCCCAATACCTGCTGATCTTAAAATTTCACTAATAAAAGGCAGCAGAAACATGAGTAAGGGGAACTTCTGTTTTGAGAAACAGCATTTCAAGTGATTGAAAACGTATCTCCTCACACTGCTTATAAAAAAAGCACACTAGGCATTCATGAAATACACGTGACATGGCTGTTAAACAAAAATTTAAGCAAAAGCCTTCAATTCCTGGTTTTTCATTCCTACTGTCTTTTTCAGAACTTTACACTCCATTTAATTTTGAAACACTGAAGCTCCACTTTGTTTCACTATGAAGACACTCTATGCATAAGATATCCCTTGTATCCCAGGTCAGTGGGAGGGAAGAAGTGGTGTTTTTGTTGTTTGGTGGGCGGGTTTTTTTAAGTAGCAAGGATTATACTCACCATTCTAGTCGCTGTTTTTCTGTCGGTGCACTTGCTAGAAGTACAATATAATGCCTTTGGAGATAAAGACAATATGCTATTCTATATATCTTTCTAAAACTAGACATTCAAACCTTAATATTAAATTGCAGTAAATTCTATTGAAAAATATAATTATTATCTTATGTATATACCCTGCATTAAATTAAGCATTGCTAGGTAGAAAACAGGGCTATGTCCCAAGTGTGTGACTAACAGACTTATCAAAACATTTCCGAGTTTAGGGCCATTTGCAACTACACTGTATTACCAGTAACCTTAATGCAAGGTTAGGAATGCAGCACTGGTTGAAGAACATTACCGATATTTCAATACCTAATGAGATCAGGAATTTAACTGACTATGAGTCAAGAAAAGAACAGTTGTTCACAACTACCTATACATGTCAGTTGTCTTAGTTGTAACATTATTTCTGAAGAGTTAAAAGACTAAACAAATGCATATGTGCTAACCAAAGTCAAAAATAACACCATGAAATGTGGTTTAAAAAAAATTTTATCGACATTTGAGAATTGTCTGAAGACACTTATCTGAAACTTCATAAGGAATGTTTCCTCTGATGATAATTCTTAAGCTCTCAACTATATTCCAGGATAATGAGTGTATACCCACTGTAAGTAGATTTCAAAGAAACAAAGCAATAATGGTATTTTAAACAAAGAAGCCCAAGGACAGTGGAATGGGAGACCATTACTTTTAACTTGAGTTTGTAACGAGGGAGATGAGGGAACCTTACATGCCTACAGACAGGTTTTTCAGAAGCTTAGCTGGGAAGTCTTTAACAACCTAAGTCATCCAATGCAGCACTCTATACTGACACAGCACGTTTAGGCACGTTCAGAGCAGGATTTAAAGAACAGTAGTAAAGTAAGGGACTAGACCCTAGTACATACACCTCTCATGGAAAGGAAAGCAAGGTCAATGGCAGTCAAAAACTATAGTGCAGAGTCCTCTGATGCTATTACAGGCCTTCAAATCACAACAGAAAATCCCAATCAACAGCTACATGTTTCTGTACTTATCTTTAGGTGGCAAGAGACAAAACCCTGCTAAAAACTACAGTTCTCCAGATTCAGTCACAGACTGCAGTAAAAGGAGAAATGGAAGAGACATTTGGAGAAACTTTTGCCCTGTTCTGAGCAATATGAAGATAAAATGTCCTCTTCCTTTTTTGCATTTTGTCAGTATTAAATGCTCCATAATAAAAAGTTATGGAAAAAGAGAGTAAGGGTCCCTTTACTCAAATTCTGTATGAGAAGCTACTAGTTTCTACTACTGATTTATTTTAAGGAGTAGGAGACCCTCCATAAGATTCCTACATCATACATAGAACACTTGCAGAATCTTTAATTTAGTAGGAAGGACATTTAAGCTTTTTATTGTTTTTAACCTGGTACAAACCGGAACAGATAAATCTCAAATCTGCAAGTATTCGAAGAAACCAATTTTCCAGTTACTTATTAAAAGCAGTTCTCTGAAACAAAATTCTGAAGAACCATTTAAAAAAATATTAATTTGGCTATGTCTGAAAGTCTCAACCAGTTAGTAGGTACCCAGAAAAAAACCACTAAGCCTTATTTATGAAAAAATAAGTAACGGTTAACTATTTTTACTCAAATAGTGCTAGCTGAAAAAATAAAAAAGATGCAATTTCTCCCCATTTCCCCCACCATCCCCACCTGTTAGTGCTGAGAAGGAATTATTCAATGGAAATTTTCTACTGCCATTTTTAGTAAAAATAAAATAGCATGAGTTGTTAAAAATTAAGATACACGTAGTTTGAAGAGTCCAAGGTATCACTGCTAAATTTCGCAAAGATAAGACTTGTTATCTCTTCCTCATTTGTATTGTTATCACAAAGCATATGTCTAATTCCCAAGTATCTATCACTGCATTATAAAGGTCTTAGGTTAACTTTCTACCTCTCAGTGGTGACTTTCAGATGTTGGGTATTATTTTGAAGTATATGGGTTTGGGGTTTTTTGTTTGTTTGGGCTCTCAGGTAGTTTTTTTTTGTTTGTTTTTTTGTTCCGTCTTTTTTTTTTTTTTTTTTTTTTTAGAAATTGATGGTGTTTCCCACTGTCTCCCTTTCAGCATTGTTTTTATAAATATAATCCAATGTAGATAGTATGGAATTGTAACACACTATTAACACAAGTATTTCATTTAAAAAATCACAAAAAATTATTTAAGTCATACAACTCCCTGGGGGGGAACCCAACAAACAACTGAGAACACCTGAACATGTTCATTTCAGTTTTTCTTTATTATCTGTCCAGGAATTATACTTTATACAGTACTTTGAAGTCCTATAAAGTCAAGTGTTCAAACAAACCTTTTTAAAGGTATAGTTATATTCTACTTATTACAGAGAAAGAACACACTACAGCTCATTTAATGAGCACTATTTCTCTCAAAACCACACTGCCCTCTTGGTCCTAAGCTATAACCATTTCATTCTCACACAACACTTGATACTCATATCCATTTGAAATTATTCTGGTCACTTCCCAAAAGTGTAAAACACCGTATCTAACAAGTGTATGTTCTTTGTTGCTTTTCCCTTAATCTGAAAAGTTTAAACCTACATGAACAGCAGATAATACATGTTGGAACTCCTTAACTCCAAGTAATTGCTGATGTTTAAAAAATACGAAGAAATAACTAAAAGCAGATTTCCTCATTTTCCCAATTTCTAATCTGTTCCTACCACGCAAGTATGCAATAGCCCCCAGTTTTCCATAGTCACAGATCATCAAAGTTTATTTTAAACACAGATAGCAAGTTAAAAGTGTTCAGGAAAAATAGATGTTTAGCAACTAATTGCCATTGAGAGTGATACAGATTATCGAAGCTATGCTTTCAGAGATGAAATGTCTGTCTCAGAGAAAGGATCAGATGTTCTTATCTGGCAGAGCGCTATACACTGCTAAGAATTTCAGCAGAACATGCCAAGGCATCTACAATTTAAACAGGAGAAGAGTGTGAAGAAGGGAGAAAAAATTCAAAACATCCAGCTTTCAGATGGAGATCTGACCAAGAAAGCCACATTTGCTGCATACAGATGACTGAATATAAAGATTTATTTTGTAAAGGTTATTGACTAACGCTTTAAAATTAACCTACTACGGGAAAATACAAAATCTTCAGCAATTTAAGTTAAAGCAGGCTCCACAATACCATTCCACAGTTAAAAAAAAATTAGACCAAAGACATTTTGTGCAAAATAGAAAACCTGGATATATAATGTTGAGCAAGAGAAGCTTTTATTGCTAAAACTGGTAAAATGGCTAAAGCTGGTACACAAAAAACCTATTAAAATAGAGATTATTTCAAATGAAGTTAAATGCTTCCTATTTTTTCCTAGACTTGAAAGAAACAAAGAAAAGGTGCTAGGGAACTTTTTAGCAAACTCTTCAGCAGAAACTGATCTGTCTGCAGATTATTTTTACTTCAAAACAGAATATAACTTAACAGTGCTCTTTTATGTGTTTTCAAACTTAAACTCCAAAGATCAACATAAAAGCCATCCAAATGTTTTAAAGTTTTTATCATGCAAAAGGTATAGAAACAAAACACAGACACATTATGAAGGTCATCAGTCTCTTTTAATGGGGGAACTGTATATTTCAATCTTTTTTAGATTAGTACAAAACCAACCAACCACCCAACACAAACAAGTGTAAAATATATTTGATCTTGATTCAAGAAAAATGGGTCTCCAATTTCAACTGAGGGCAAAGAAGATGTAGTCCAGATTTTAATAATCCATATTTATTGTAAAAATACAACTTTCAGCAAGTCCATATACATTTAACAAGCTTCTGCCCCACAAGCATATAACTAGAAACCCTAAAAATGTGAAGTGTGAACTTCATGATTTCCCTTAGAGACATTCCAAAATCAGAAAAGCTAGGTGTGAAAAGAATTAATAAATATTCAAAAGCCTTAAGCTTTAATGAAAAAAAACCCTAGTAATAACTACTAGTACATCTGGTAGTTAGTCAACACAACTGCAAAAATATATTTTATTATCAGAGTGAACTGTTGACTATAATGACAGAAGAAAACATAGTTTCACGTATTTATTCATCTTAAATATTGACCTTCAAAAGAAGTTCTTTTAATATCTTTTTTCCTGTGAGGTAAGACCCATTTTCAGAATGCTTACTGACAGCACTCAAGAACATTTGTGTTAGTCAAACCAGCTGATACATCTTCAATTTTACTGGTAGCATACCAATTGCTTAGTTAACTGCTGATATTCTAAATATCTGGTCAAGGACTAGTAGGTTCCTGAAATACATGCTTAAGACACGAAAAAGTACCTGAGGAAATTATTCACTTTCTAAAAGAAAGGACAGTAGCACATTTACTCTCTCACTTTATAGAAAAATCCTAACAAAACACGTTTTGGACATGTACTATATTTATATTATATTTAAGATCCTGGGCTACAGTGCATTATTAGGTATTTCAACTGATAAACTTAAAATATTCTGCCATGCCATAAAATACATACTTGTACTTCTGAAAGAAGTTTGGAGCTTCAAAAAGTTTGGACCACTCTGCCTTACTCAGCAAAATTTCATCTGTGATAGCAAGACCTAAATTATCAAAAAAAAAAAAAAAAAAAAAGAAAAATTTAAACTTTTTTTTAAATACATTTTAGTACCCAGAGTAAAGACAGTTTATTAACTTGGCAAAGGTTACTATGATTTATTTCCTTCCTTCAAATTCACAGTAATTTATCAACGAGCTTTACAGTCCAGTCATACTTTGAGTGGTCATTAGTTATACAAATCATGTGATTAAAAAGACCTCCATAAGGTCTGTATAAGAAACGTATATTAATTTAAACTGCTAATTTCACATATTTTTGTTCTGCAGTGTAACAGCCCAATTTAGCCTTTCGCATATGCCACAGTAACTACTTAGTTTAAAGAACAGACACCTTTTTCTTTACATTATCTGAATCACCTGTTGGGCAAGGCATTGTACAGGGCAAAGAAACAGTGAGACAGTAAGGTACTGCTCTGGCTGAGAGAACTCCTGATCTACTCCTTTCTTTGATAACATCTTCTCTTATCTGCTATAATTATTCAAGTACATTACCAGGATAAATCCAGAGGACTCATCTTAGAGCAAGTATAATTTCTTATATTAGGCCTAAAAACAGGCATAAACTGGAACCACTATGGTTATCATCCACGTGGCCCAACAGCCAGTAAAATAAAGGTTTTTTTCTGATTAGTTGTAATTTTCAGAGCACAAGGCATTCTATTTAATTACCCTCCGTTTCTAAGAGTGAAGGACAGATCTATAGAAGTATCTACTAAATTTGCAGCTTTAAACATTGTTAAGCCTGACAGACAAGCTCTCCTTCCCTGGAAATAAGAGTATCATGTCAATAAGTTATTTAACATCCACCCACCTCCCCCCTCGCAGAGCACACCCACAATGAAACTATTTTAAATCTGTCTTAAAACATATAGAGAGCATAAGGTAATACTCACCTTGCTTAAATTCCTCAACCATGACCATCCGTGTGGAAACGGACACATTGTACGTGGAGTTCTGCTGTGGGTATGCTGGTGTAATTATAGGCATAAGATGGTACCTATCACTGGGGTTTACCTACATATAACAACAGCCAATCAGTTTTCTTCAAGCATAAATAGCAGTTAACAAATTTGGATTTTTCCCTTCACTACAACCAAGCCTTAAGTTCTAAAAGACCTTAGTTTGCAAAGCAAGAGTTCAGAGAAAGTTTAGAAAACAAGGAAAATGCATTCACAAAAGACCTTATTCTGAACCAACAGTGATGTGGGAGGGCAGTAACCTGTCAGCACATCAAGTTGCAGGCTTTTCAGAGTCCTGAACAGAACAATTTCCCTCTTCAACAGAAATTAGCTTGTGATCTCATGAAACCAAGGATACTTAATCACCATATGAGCACCTTCTGCAGAATGACTGTCTTCAGACCTTGCAAAAGGTATTTTATACTTTATTTCTGCAATACTACTGAAAATTAAGAGCCAGTTTAAGAAAAGAGGCTCTAGGCAACCTGACAGAAGCATCACTTGCATTAACATATCTTTTATTAAACAGCACACAGAGTAACAAAGAAAGAGACACAACATACACACAAAAAATACATTAAAAATATCATTAGGGTAGCAATCTTGTAGAAGGTAAATAAAAGATAAAGCCACCATTAATTTAGCCCACTTTCATTAGTTACTACAACACAGACAGTTCCGGTCACACACTGACCTCAAACCCCTTATCTCAGGAGTAACAGACTCAAGAACAAGTTTTCAACTGTCTCATGAATTTAAATGTGAACTTTTGTCAACCAGCAAAAAACAGATTTGAAGTACAAAGGGGCATACAACTCAACCTCTGATGCTTACACCAGTCACCAAAAAAAAGATTAGATGAACACCAACTATTCTACGATTGTCAAAACAGCATTGAACACACTCATGCTACGCCCTCCTGAAACCTCAGAATGTGAGCTGTGCATCTGCTGCAAGCTGTTTTATTGACTGCCTGAAGGGCATTAATGCTCAATGTCTTTAGTGTAAATGCTACAAAGATGGAGATCAAATACTATAAACAATATACCAAGCAACTAAAAGACTTCAGGTTACGATCTTCTTTGGTGCAAGATGAAAAGACAAACTGCTACAACTATATGGAACCAAACCTATTCAGGTGTGACTGTTGCACTAAAGTGAATTCAAGATACTTGCAAAAGTAACAGGTTTAAAGTCATAAGCAAACCATTTTAAGACTAGCAATTTTTTAAAAATGCATTGATTTAAGGCATATATCTAACTATGCCTAATTTTAATTAAGATTACTTATTGCAAAAGTTGGGAGTAAACAGTATATTGTTCAGCAAGTGTGCTTCAAGTGGTCAGTTCAGAAAATTAGGGTAAACTTTGTTCTGTATTCAGGAGAACTGGATGTTACTTTCAAAGAAGATATACCACCACAACATTAATAAATCCAAATGAAGTTCACCTAGGATTCTGTAAGCAACCGAATGCATTGTACAGTGTGACTTAGAGGGGAAAAAATAACACACTAACCCTTGGGTCCCATACAGGCAAATTAAGATTGCATTCTTCTGGCTGTTTCAATAGCACTGGATTTGGCCATTCCCTGTTCAAAAAGATTGTAGCACTGAATAAGACTATTGGATACAACGATGTATGTTCAACAAACAATACTTTTGAATGCGATCCTTCTTAACTCCCCTCTCAACATAAAGCACCATTTCCTCAAGACTAGGCTGGTCTAACAGGGGTTGTTTAAATAAGCTGTACTGCTGAACTACAATACAGCAGCTATTAGCTTCTCCAGGGCAGCAGAGCAATGAATTTTCTGTAGTTTATAGCTACTGGTTTAGGTAACTAAGTTAAACTCCTCTAAATTCTTCCTAAAATATACCAATCAAAGAGAAATTGCTCTGTGAAGACTGACATTGGCTCCATCTTCAAGCTAGCTGTTTCATGGACAAACTACAAAACAAACAGCCAGCACATTTACAATAGCATCATTACAAACCATATGTATTAAAACAAAATTATAATCAAGACAAAAAGAAACTATGTTGAATGAAACACTAAAAATAACTTGTGTTCTTCAAGTTGTCTTACCCCCCTGAATAAAGCTATCTTCCTATAAAGAGTACTAGTCAGTTATTTTCTTGGAATTTGTACATTAATGCTCCTATGGTACGCAGGTATAAAATGGACAGAAGTAGAAGAAACATTAAAAGGACTGCAACCCACTACCCTCTACTACTTAATGTGGGGAAAAATATTACTTAACACTACATACCTCAAGGAGGCTATAAAGCCTATGAATTCAAGACAGTGCAAGTGTGCAAATTATCTTCACATTAATAAGAAAAAACACTATACTTGAAGTAAAGCAACACCTTGGTATAACACCTTGGGACACATCACAGTGTCTCATGAAGAATATAGGAAAACAGTATTCGCTTGTAATCTGCAGAGTTCACTTCTGTCTCATTTATTCTAAATTTATTTAGAATGTTCCCATCAGAGTTATTCAAAAGATCTTTCTGAGGTAATTGGCTCAAGAGTATGAAACTGTATGTAATTCTGGAACACCTGCCACTCCACACTGACAAGATTAAAAAACCACATTTTTGCCACTGCTCCTCCTAAACTGCATTTCAGCTACGTTCCTAAACCAGATACTTGGAATACATCCTTTATCAATTTACCCAGTTATCCAAATGTTAAGAGATTTTAAACTTTGGGGTCTTGGCTATTGTTCTGAACTATATTAAGGATTTTACCTGTAGATTAAAGTGAGTTTTAACAAATACTTGAGAAAATTTTAATTAAGAACTGGGTGGGTTTGGTTTGGATTTTTAAGAACAAGACATGTTGGATGACTTACTGAAAATCTTAAATGAAAAACTTTCTAGTGGCAAGAACAATGCTTCTAACTATGGTCTTAACCTGGTAACAGCTAAAAATAGTACCATAAAAACAGGACTAAAATTTAGTGTCTACAAACAATTTTATTTTAGTTTAATCTAAATTAAAACAAAACAAAAAAAAAAAACATACCATTTAGAAAATACCAAGAAAAATTTATGTACAAGAGTTGATGCTATTGCATTTGGATAAAGCTGGCAAGTTCTTGCTACTAGCATAGCCCAGGAAACACCGCCAAGGAAACCTAGTATATTGGAATAGATGTTGTGGCCTGTGGATTGAGAAGGGAAGAGATAAAAGGAGAGATATCAGTAACCAATAAGAGGTAATGAAAACGCCACAAATTTTGGAATAAAACTGCTTACGTTTTGCCCACAGTTTGATAGCTCTCAGTGTCAACCTGAAGTTGTCAATGTTTGGTACTAGATGCAGAATTTCATCGGTTACCCGGCAACCTGCAAAAGAAAGAATCCATTTCGACTGCTGCCTCCAAAGTTTTTTGCTTGCTTATCCTCCTTCACCTCCAAAGCTATCAAACTTTTTAGATCAGCATGCTGGAAACTCATTTCATATTCAGATCTTTTATTTTGAATTAGAAAGCTTAACATATTTTCATTTGAGTTTTTTTGATTTTTGCAGCAGCACTCAGGTAGACAATTCATGTGTGTGTAACAGCAGTTTTGGACTGCTACTTGACTTTCTGCTACTACAGTATAAGCTGACCTCAAACTGACAAGCATTTTGATATGTCCAATTCATCACCGATGACATTTCATGTATGTTTATGCACAATAAAACACATACAAATTAAAAATCAAATATCTCTATTTACAGAAATAGGTAGTGCTCTATACAAAAGTCTTACAACTCCCTTTAATTTCTAGAACCATTTAATAACCAAATAAAATTTAAAAAATATAAACAGTCTTCTCTCCAAATAGATACATAAAACTGTCTACAATTTTATACGAAGCTACTTATTTTCAGTCAAGTCCATAACTACTGTATCAAAGAACTTAGGTTACTTATTTTAAGTTTAGACAAGAATTTGATACACAAAACCATATACACGTACCATTAAGACTTCGTATGCATCTAATGTCTAAATTTTTAAGTAGGCTGTCGTCTCGTAGGTCTAAGTCTTCAGGAATAGTTTGCAGTGCTAATCTTGCAAACAAAATATCAATCTTAAAAAAACCAAAAGAGACAAGACATTAGAAAACTGTTCTTTGTTCTGTAGAATCAATTCTGTAACTCATTTTCATCAAGTTTACTAATAACAACAGTAGTCTTCCTAGTACAAAGAATCCCTTTAAATAATACATGCTAATACCCTTCACAGACATTAAAAGAAACACTTTCAGATGCTTCATCTATCTTTTGGCTCCTTTTCCAAGGGGATAACATACACATTAAGATTTATATAGAACCAGGACAAACAAAAACTATATTGACTGGTTTTATGTAAATAAAAATCCTTTGGGGACAAGCGCCACTTGTAGGTCCAGAATATAAAATTCTACCACATCAGAGCAAGTCTTGAAAACATAACCCTAGTTTTAACCTAAATATTCTCAAATATTCCAGAGAAGAATTCTAGAGAAGACTGAGGGGTGACCTCACTGCAGATTTCAACATCCTCATGAGGGGAAGGGGAGGGCGGGTACAGATCTTTTCACTCTCATGACCAGTGACAGGACCTAAGGAAATGGCACGAAGCTGAGTCATGGGAGACTTAAGCAAATGGCATGAAGCTGAGTCATGGGATTAAGCTGGCTATCAGGAAAAGGTTCTTCACCCAGAGAATGGTTGGGCACTGGAACAGACCCCACAGGGCCCCAAGCCTCACAGAATCCAAGAAGCATTTGGACAACATTCTCAAGCACATGGTGTGATTCTTGGGGTATTCTGTGCAGGGCCACGAGCTGGACTCGATAATCTTTATGGGTCCCTTACAAATCTGCATGTTCTATGATTCTATGAAAATTATCACTGAATTACAGAAAACGTTGGAGACACTTCCCATCTATCCCTGTAAAGCACACACATAAGTAGTTGCCTCTATACAGGACCAGTATCTATGAGGAGTCTACATATCGAATTACAGAAAACAAAGGTCTGAAAATTCAGCAAGCTGTTGAGCAAGTGTATATATTTTGAAATTATTTCCAATTTCTTTGCTATTACTTCTAAAATACTTTACACCATAACAGCTTTTCTAGGCCAAGAACATCTGAAATACTATTCAGCTCTGAGCTAGAGTTTTATATTGCCCCAAACACAAGGACACTGCACAGAGTGGAGAAGTCAGTTTGCCTTTTTATCAGTCAGTTGATGACAATACAAAGCATATATCAGCAGCCTGTCTGGTAGACAACAAGGGCACTTCACCAGATGAGGCTTTTAAATATAAACTGGTATCCCTTGACCTACACGACAATGAAATACCTAGTGCTATTGCATCAAGAACAAAACTGGTTTAGTTACATTATTTCAGTTAAAATGAAGCTGAAGATACCTTAAAGACCTTTTTGTAGGTACTTAAAACTTTGCATCTGTCTGTTATAAACTATGAAGCACTTCACAGAAAAGTAATATCTAAAGTATTCAATGCATTTCTTATTTCAAAGTCCTTTATAGCTGGTCTTCTCAACAATCTGCATTGCAAGCAGAAGTTCCTACTTAAGTCAAAAATACTACAATACAAAACAAGTTCAAAATTAACTTCAATCTGAAGTTCTGCTCTGATCTTTAGAAGGTCTAGCATTAAAGATTCAAAGTTCATTGACAATAAAGGAATTTTTCAAATAAAGAAATTAATGGTCTGTCCTATGTAACTAGGGGGACAAGGGGGAAGCAATCAGTATTCAACATGAAGAACAGAAAAAATTCAGAAAGGTTGTTGTTTATTTTAAGCAAGAACATAAAATTCATTGTAAAAAACTTCCAAAGTTTTAATGAAAGGATCACCACAAAACTAAACTCTTTTCCTCAGTTACAGCTCCTGACACGTTTTGTCTGGACTAGCAAAAGGGAAATTAAGTTAAAATCTCTTGATACTGACAAAACTACAATCATCAGAAATTGTGGCCCAGCAACACTAATAAATACAAAGAGTGTAACTTGCCATAAGACAGCATTCAAGACTAGACAACTCTCATGCGCTGTCAGCAATGTGAGTTAAGTCTCAGTCATAAACCTAAGCCCATCATAAATTACTATACTGGAACAAGATACTACTTTTAGAGTAAACAGTCCCCTTTTTCCCCTATTTAGGCTTGTATTTTGAAGTTCATTTTTTTCTATAGGAGAGACAGTACGGACTTGAATGCTGGGGGAAAAGAAAGCAAACATACAGTAAAAAGAACAAACTTACCAGGACAATTATGGCAAGTTTCGACATTTAGAATGAATACATCAGCTACATAAACAGAAAACAGATTCTCCAGAAAAATGTTCCTAATACCCAACTGTGGATGGACAGTAATAAAATGGCTTACTCAGAAGCAGAATCACAGGTTAGGTTACTGCACAGTATCACATTTCTCTGCACATTGCTCTCACTGGGAGAATACACCTCTCTGCCTAAGTGTCAACTGACAAAAATGTTGATGAAAAGATAAGTAAAGTTGGATTGATGAGGGCTAAGGTTCATCTTCCCAAAACACAAAAATTGCCAGTACCCTGTGGCCATTATAACTGCAAGGCAGAAATTTAACTCAGTGGGAGAGAAGGAAGTGTCCCATCTTGCATACAATACTGCCCCATGTCATCTGCCAGAAGATTAGCATGGGAATTCTTTCCCCATTGAAAAGTGCCCTTCTTACACCCACCAGTTACTGTCTGGTGTAATTCAAATACAAGTTTGAACGGTGTGTGTATGAATAGTCCATATGTTTTTGTCTTGTCCCCAAAAAAGATGACAAGTCGACTACATAAGTCTGAGAACCGTTAACAGAGAATCTTTTGAAAGCACCATTCCTGCTTTCTTAGGAAAAAAAAAAAATCAAGTCAAGCAAGTTCAGCACACTATGACAGATGATCAATCACGCTTACAGGCACAAAAACCATTGTTTTGGTCGTGTGTTTAAAGACACGTGAAGAGATGAGGACAAGAGGACACCCAGTTTGCCTTCAGCAGTACATTTTTGAGAACTAATTAAAGACCACAACTTCCTCTAAGATACTGAAGCATATCTTTCATGCTTGGACAGTTAACCATTAGCAGTCAAAAAACTGAGGTCACACTAAGAATATAATTTCTATTCAATGTTAACTCTAAATAATGCCAATACTGGTACTCTACAGGTCAGTAAACTAGTCAGTACAAGTGGGTAGCAGTGCCAAAAAAAAAAAAAAACCCATGGAGATATTCTGCTTACAGTTTTAAGTCCATCAAGAAAAAATTCTTTCAGTCTTAAATCTCTACACAGCTGAGGACTGATGTCAAGGACTTTGGTATGAACTTTGAGTCACTTAAATAACACTCATATTAATAAATAATATACGAGTTATAAAGATCTTAAACTTAGTTTTAACCATGTTCTATCAAAACAAATTAAAATATGATCTTTACCTCTATTCCATCAAAACAAAGTTTAATAACTGGGACAAAAGCTTCTTCAACAGCCTGGGGGGAAAAAAAGTTGTATTTTATTTAAGTATAGAGAACATTTACATACAATAGCTACCACGTCTAAACAATTATAACCAAATGCTACTTATATCAATTCTTTTCTGTTTTCAGCTTGATTTTTGTCAGCAACGTCTTTCTCTTCTTCTGAGGATTTATGCAGTAAGCACTAACCTACTACGTGCTGCAGCTGTGAAGATGTTCATTATAATCCAAACCTGTACCAACCAGCTCTGAAATGTTACCCCAGGGTCCAACCCTCTTTCTCCCTACATACAGGACATGATCAAGTATCTTCTACTCTTCACAAGTATCTCATAAGTATTCCAAGGCCAACATATGAGGATTCTTTGTCTAAAAGGCCTCTTATTTCTGTTCCTACAGTCAATATTTTATGAGAAAACAACTGTGTAACCATGGAGTCTGACTTGAGATTAGCTCGGTGGGTTAGAGCACAGTGCTAGTAATACCAAGGCTGGTGGGTTTGATCCCTGAATGGGCCATTTGCTGAAGAGTTGGACTCAATGATCCTTGTGGGTCCCTTCCAACTAAGAACACTCTGTGAGTTGCAGGTCACCAGTTTCCACAGTTTGAGCATCTTTTCTAAACATGGTCAATAACAAGGTACTTTTACAAACAGTATCCATGATGAAACTCTAGGACTTCACATTTACTCTGACATCAGCTATGAGCACCATTTTCCCAAAGTGAGCATCCAAACTAAACACAGATCTGCAGTATACTGGTTTTGTACAAGCAAAGAATACTGCCTACCCCTGAATAAGAAATACTATGAACTGTTCCAAGAGTCTTTCAGTTCTTAACAAGGAGGAGACAATACTTAAGGTTACCTTAATGTTACTGGTTGGCAGGATGAATCCTAAGCAAAACACCAAGTCCACAAGTCTCTCAAACTTACTCCCTAAAGCAACCATTGAGAAAGTCTATGTGTCCCAAAAGATGGAAATGTATAAACTTTCTTAGAACTAGCCTGAATGATTTAAAAGTATTATGACTCCCTGACCTAAGAGTTATTTGCATCACCGCAGAGCTACACTGAACAGCATATATATCTTACTGCCAAATCAACTACATTACCTGGAGTTAGAGTTTACAGCAAAGCTGAATGGAAATCTCAATCCTCTCAATTACAGCATGTGGATTTAAAGATTACTAGAAGTGTTCAGATAATAAAGCATTCAAAATAGTTGTTTCACTGCATATAGTATTATCATCAGATGTTTGCACTACTCTGGTAGTTACCAACCATAGGAAGAGTGGAAGAATGTTGCAAACACAGTTCCATTTATTTTATGAGAGCAGGACTAAATCAAACAAAGACTTGTCAGCAACTATCTTCATCTAAAAAAAGAAACTTCAGCACCTAAAATTTACTGAGCCAATCCTGAAAAGGTTAAAGCTCCCACCAGTTAGCCTAGTAAGGCTTGTCATTTAGCTATAACAGAAACAAAATACTGTGTATACTACTGTCTTCCACTACGACAAAGGAAATCCTCATTTTTACATGCTAAAAATCTTGCACAAGCATCAAATAATGAGACACTAAAAATATAACTTTCCTTTTCAAATGCACAGCCAATATAAAAAGTTTAGTTAATATCAACCATTTTAACTGTTTATAAGCATGAAATTACAAGAGAGCAGCATAAAATCTTCATTAAACACACACGAGTTTGGTCCTGATCCTTTTCAGGCTAACACTCACATGGGTACATGCACGCTGCTAGAGGGTAAACAGAAATTTTGCCATACTAACACATGTGCTAAGAAATGGTTCTGCCATCTAGATTTTTAAATGAGTCTCACTATTAAGTGGGAGCAGAGAAAATTTTGAAGAATCTCTATTTATTTAAACTCTAGTGACAGGTTTCGCTGCAGGTAAAGTAAAAATCCACTGCAAGCCTTAATACTAAAGTTATAGTTACTTATTTAATGCATCACTATTGACTTTTCTGCATCCTCAGGCCAGTGAGCTGTACCAGGCATTTCACATACCCTCAGATCTTTCACTTCTTCTTGTTGTTTTAGTTTTTCATAAAACGATGTGAAAAAATCACTCCTTTCAACATGTCTTGGTGCAACACAGAGGGCATCTATATCAGCACCTGAAATGGATAATTAGCAGAAGTAAATTACCCCCAACACTTCACATGCATGGAATGCCAGCAATAGACAACTATTTTTTTCTTCAAATAAACAGGAATATTTTGTTTCTCATCATGGGGAATGTTTTTTCTCTGGAAATGCTAAGTCAAATGAAAAAGTTTTACGGCCATTAAACATGCTGAACACGTACACACACTCGTTTCAATTGTGGAACATTTGTAGTAATTTTCAAAGAACAAAACATGAGAACCTAAATATACAACTTCCTCTATTTTTAAATAATTTCCAATTTTTTTGTGTGTTTCTCAATCCATGATAAAAACATAATATAGGAATATATTTCTTTTATTTATAATGAAGACCATATGGTTGACCAAGAAAACAAAGAAATCTAACACCACCTAAAAAAAACCAGAAAGATCAGTCATTACCTCAAACACACAGATTTTTATTATAAAAGTAAATGTTACCTTTTGTATGAACCCCTAATCTATAGGATCCAAACGTAAAAATTTTTCCTCCAACGTTTTCTATTACAGACTGTGGAAGATTCTAAACGGAGCAAATAAAATTGGTTATTTTACCTTAACAAGTTGTAACAACACAAACAATTTACTTTAAAACAAGAGGAAAAAATATTCGACAAAATTTATGCTGTTTAACCACTGAAATAATTACCTCAGTATTTACAGAAAAAAACTGAGGTATGTTTGCCACTTGGGAACCACTTGTAGCATCTCAACTACATTACACATTACTACCTCAAACCTCGTAATTTTTCTACCAATTCTACACTTCAGGTGCAACAGCTTTATAAACTCACAGAGATCAAACACGTTCTGTTTCACTCAGGCATTTCAGATTGACTCAGAAATTCATGATGGATTCCAATTTAGAGCAACACAAAAATACTCTGTATAGTATCAGTTAGTTCCAGAGACACCCATACTATACATAGTCTTTATATTAAGAAAAATTGTGTTTGGGAGAGATATTTATGTTCAAATCATTCAGGTGCATCTATTGAAGTTCCTAGATTTATATCATCAATAAAAACCTGTTGAATCCACAGTACTGTGGGCAAGGAGAGTTATCCTTTCACAACAGGATACAGTGCTACAACCTGAGACTCTACATGAATGGTTACACAGCAGAAGATAAAATAAATCGAAATTTGTATTTTGCAATGTATATTGATTAACTTTAATAACTTCCCATCTTACACCAGTCATGATATTCTCACTGTTTTCAAGGATCAAGACTAATACAGCAGGGCTGTTCTTGTCTGTAATCTTGTTCAGAAGTGTAGAGAATAAATAAATTCCAAATATACTCAGAGCAAAATTGCTTAAAAATTTAGGCTTTTATTCCTAAAAAAAAAAAAAGCCACTTTTTTGCAAGTCTGTAATCATTAAAAAAAACATGTGTGGGGACAGGGGTTACTGTTAACCTGTCAAAAATACTATCAGTATTATCAGTCTACAAAAGCAACATTACAAGATTCACATTAAAGAAAAAGATCACAGACCATAAAGATGCAAGAAGTACATTTTAAGATCTAATTATTACAGCACTATATGCATGAATTTTGACAAAAACTCAAGTTATATCTATCAGTTTCTTTCTTTGACAAGGTTATACTTTTTTTTAAGGGGTAATGCTGCCTGGTAACAAAAGAAGCTACACAAAGATGGTATTTGTTTTCCACCCCAAATTTAAGGTTCATCCCATTTAGACTAGGAACATATTTTAGAATTATCTTCCTAGAGCAGTCTTAAAATCACAGTATGAGCAATTCCATGTAAAATATATCCATACCTTGCTTTCACTGATTTCCCGTATCCATTCCTTTACCAAGTTATTTAATTTTCCCAAAATTAGAATCCTATTGATAAAACAGCAGAATCACATGTCATGAACTTAGATCAAATCAGTAGTATTTTAGGACCTTGATCATCCTTACACAGTAAGTCAACTACAATAAAACTGCAGATCTAATTACAGATCTTTTTATATATATGTTGAAAACAAGTCCCTTTTAGAACATTCCCATTACATTCCCCCCTTAAAAATATTCAAGTGACTTAGGTTCAAAAAAAAAAAAATGCAAGCATGCAAGGCATACACACATTTTAAATATATGAATTCTACTAATTTTCAAAGTAAAACTTTAATTCTTACATACATCTAAAATAAAAGAGAGAAGCAGTACTGTGAGATAAAAAAAAAAACCTCTAGAAAGTTTAATAAGTATAAGGTCCACAAAACAATGATGAAGGGGGAAACATGCAAGCCAGCCTCTAAAATTTTATGGTCATTTTAATTCCCTTCTGTGTTTTGAGGTATTCCTCTTAAGGTGAGAAAAATAGAGCTTACAATTGCAATAGGCTTTTAAGAAAGCATTTGAAAGAACCCAAATACACTTGGGGTTCAGTAGTCAACTACATGTACCCCAAGATAGGGAAAAAACACTGTTACTGTTTACTCACCTGCGTTGTAGCTCTTCTTCCTCTTCAAATACGCCATAAGGTTTTAGGGTTTCAATTAATTTCTGGGTAAGCATGCAGTCAAACTCCTTGGGGGCAGCTAAACTGATAGGTGAGGTAATGCCATAATGCTTCTGTAGTTGCTGTGTTTGTGATCCCTGGGTTGTAACGGGACTAATAAAGGCAATTAAATAAAGTTACTGACAGAAACCAACCAAAAAAAATTAATCTACTTTTTCTCATCAGAATAACAGACAAGAGATAGATACTAAGAAAATTAAAAGTTAAGCCTAGTGTTAACATTTACCTCCCAAATCAATCTGGTTAAATCTGTGCTATTAAGGACACTAACAGAATTACCTTTCTCCAACTCTTAATGCTGATTGCAGGGTTACAAGTTGCTATGAGTCATTTTCTTTTACATCAGCTGACTTCACACTCTCAAAACATTCACCTAAGTAAGGAGGCTTTAGTGTATTTTGAGCCCATCAGCATCATACACTGGTTTTAAGTTGACTTCTCTCATGGCTACCATAACTTGGTGAGTTGGACAAAACACATCAGCTCATCCTATGGTGGCAATATTACATACAGCCTTGCTTCATGGGGGGCTGGGGTGAAAGGTATTTTTTATTCACATTATGCATTAACTTTTTTTTCCCTGGATTTTTTGTTTTCATTCTACTTGGGCAAAAGTTTTATCATCAGTTTAGGCTTCTTTAAGTTTCATTAAGTCCGAAGAAAGAGAACCCCTCCTGTCAAAAAGTCAAGCTGACAGAGTAAGTGAAAGCTCCACTCTTGGCAGGCATAACATTTCTCTGCATATTGCTGTAATATCAGTCCTTTGTGTTTCCAAGTATTATGTAAGATTTCTTTCATTCATAATGAGAAATACTTTTATCAGGCTAACTATGTATTACATGTGAAAAAACTACAATACAACTTCACATTTACTTCCACAATTTGTTGCCATCATCTCCTCAGGATTTCATTATACATTTCCACAAAGACTAAGTATTAAAAAAAAAACATCTAGACTTAAAATTGATAGGAATCAACAAAACATGATATAATTTGCCACAAGTTAAATTCACTGTAAAATGATTTTAAGTACTATAGTTTGTTTGCAATCAAGAATTCAGTCATAATGCAAGTTTCTCACAAAGCAAGTTCTAGCACATCTGCCTCTTTGCTCATTAGCAAAAAAACCCACAACGCATGAGGAAAAATATGCTAAAAAAGTGTACATTAAAAAAACAACCCCAAGTAGTCATGGGGAGTGAGGCAATGTCTGGGAACATTATTTGATATTGTTTCCTTCAGCTATGAGCTTTTAGTCACCTAATGAAGAATTTGATAGCAGCTGAACAAATCATATAGACCTCAAGACTTAAGGTATCAATAAAAACATTTTTTAAAAAAGCTGTTCAGATGAATTATATAAAACAATAATTCAAATTAAGGACAAAGGAAGCCACTAAAACATCTTTTTCTCTTAAAAAAATTTTAGGAATGTCAACACAAATAGTTGCTTCAACCACATAGCCTCCACTAAAAAAAGCAGTCAGAAAACAAAAGGTCTCAGTATATAAACATCCTTTGGTATCTTGAATATTTTTACTTATACCACAAAGCAAGTAGTTAAATTTGAACTACAATTTCTCCCCTTTTGCCAACTGCTAATATGAGAAAATAAATTTCCTTTTAAGATTTTTCAGTTTACTGTTACAGGTTTTTAAAGCACTGATATAAAGCAATCAGTATTTTAGCTTTGTGTAACCATTTCCTGATGGTCTGACTACAATTTTCACACGTCCATAGCTAGAAAACATATCCAATTCAACAGATATTAGACTTCCTTACAAAGGTGGGTAAAAGCCTGGCAGAGCCTGTAACTAGATTTCAAAAAAGACTCAGTGTCACTCAAAACCAGATTCTGTGAAGTTGACTCCTCAAGTCAGCAATGCTGACAATGGCCTCTTCCATCTGCTTATAAAGGCCATAATTCACCAATTCAAGAACTAATAATTTAAAAATCATTTTTTATCTTGCATATAAGATTACAACACATAAAATCCAACCAAACAACAGATCTCTTCCCTGATCTGGTGTACACACAACCCTGGCAGTGCAAGGTGCAGCTCTGCCTTTGCAAACCACCACACTGCCATGACTTGAACTCCTGCAGGACCACCAGAGCTGGCCAAGGGCACAGACAAGCTTTGAAACCGTTCTCTAAACAACAGCTTTAAACAACCAATTAAATCAATTGCCAGATACACATTTTTGGGAATTCTAACATAAAAACAGCTACAGTTCTTACATTTACTTTTATAACAATGGAACATGGTTGTTGTCAACAGCCCAAGAACTTCCTAAAACAAGTGTTTCAGCTGTGTTTGAATTAGTAAGAACATTTTCTCTCAGACAGTATGTAACAGTTCTCGGCACAGCTACCTTCAAGGAGGTTTTACTACCGCAGGGGGCCTGATGAAGCCTACATTTTAACACAATCCTGAAGAGAATATAGGTTATTTCCAGATAAAAACACTTAAATTAAAGCTCAATTGTTTACACCTGCTGAAGTAAAGTCTAGTCTAAGGCTTCTGTAGCACACCAAAGGATATCAGAAAAACTCCTCTGGAAAAAAATGGTATGGTATGGGTTTGTTAAAGTCAATTAAGGATCAAATAAAGTAACTGTGCTAGGTAATCCATGCTTATTTAGTAAAAAGACAGTAAGTCATGAAAGTTACTATAAAAAAATAGAGGTTTATCTTCTTCCTGCCCCCTATCTCCCACAAAATCAAGAAATTTCAAGTAAAACATTTGCTAGTTGCTTTTTAAAGTAAAAGTAAATTACCTCTGAGAATCAAACTTTTAAGTGCTTGTTATTCCAACTTTAATGCTGTATTTACATGTTACATTTTAGCCAGAAAATGCTAATGATCAACACTTCTAGACTAATCTTCTATTTTTCCTAAAACCATGAAGTTCACACTTATATTCCAATATCTTCCCTCTTGGAAAGAGTTACGGACATTCTCGTTTTCACCTGTGACATGTCCAGAGAAAAGCTTAAACTCCTGAATTCATTCAAGAAAGATGAAAAGTCAGGGAAGTATTAGAGATAACCTTGTACTCAAGAGGATTAGAAATGTTAAGGCCTTGTTGGGGGTCAATACCTTGATGGTGTGTCACATATGCTAGTCACTGAAGTTAAGCATTAATGAAAAACAAAGTATTAAACAGCAACTGGAAAGCCTATTCCAGCTACTCAATCTTGACAACAGCAGAGGCAGATTTGGCAGACGCATCAAGGTCTGACACAACTGAAAGCCTGAAAAAGCTTGTTTGGGGCTTGTTTCTTTTTCTAAAAAAACAAAATAAAACAGTAACAGAAAACCCAAACAAAAAAAACCCCAAATCCTTAATCTTTCCTTTTAAGATCACAAAGAAAATTAAGACACAGTTTGGGGCTTTTTGGTTTATTTGTTTTTAGTCAACCACATTGTTGAAGCTCTGGTTTAACCTGGATTTTTGAAGAGCATATACTGACAATTTAAACCATCTGCAACTTGGACAGTGGCTACAGTGGATTAATTCCAAAGTGTTATGATCCTGTATTTCATATTCAAATATTAATTAATCTTATCTCTAAGAAATGCACATGTACTTTTTCCCCATATAAAAGCACAAACAGACACAACCCTAGTCTGTGCTAAGATGACAGCGGTACAGCTGAACAACTTCTTTGTTGTTTGGTAGGCAAAAGTTTGGTAGGCTCTACCTTCTTATATTGTTATCAATAACTACCAAATTAAAAAGCGCAGACCCTGGCAATACTAAACAGTTAAAACCCACTCTAAACAGATGGAAAAAGTGGAAGAAGGGGCGGGGGGAAGCAGCTTGTAAGAGGCTTTATTGTTTCCGGAGCATACACCTTTAAATTCCTTTAAATGGAAGTGAATGCACATTTTTCTAAGGTAGAGGGAGGGTTTACAATGAATCTTCTAAAGATCAGGTTATAGCCTGAACACACACAGTTAAACAGAACACAGACTTAGAGGAAATGCAGGTGTACCTATGTAGTACTGTCCCATATATAGTTAAGAGTTGGATACAAATTCTAAGTTCTGTACTACTGCTTTCTTTTAAAACACTGGAACTTTTCCCCATCCTTTAGAAGAAAAAACAATCCTCTAAAGAACTCCTTTGTCAAGAATGCTCTGTATTTAACCCAACTCCTGTCCCACATGAAAATCTCTTTTTAAGTCTTTATTCCTCTTCACTTCCACTATTCTACCTCAGTTCTAATGGTAACATCTTTATCACGTTATTTAAGATTTTACATTTCTTATCACAAGCAAAATACAGTTGCAATCAGCACCACACTACCTAAACGTTGTGCTCCTTAAATTTGGGATACTTCCCAAAAATAAAAGACAATGCAAACAACAGAAATCTTAAAGACACACAGTATAATACTGAACAAATTGTAACAGTTTAAATCCCATTGAATTTTCAAACTTGTTCATATACTAAAACAAAATACACAACTTAAGGAATCTCAATGACTATCCTCACTTCTTTATTTGCCTCTACTGATTACCTCAGTAAAATTTATTCCTTCTTATTTACTGATGTAAGACACCAAAGTCAGATTCCCAAAGCAATACTGGTTAATCAGCTGGAGCTAAATTCACAGAGCTCAAGCTCCACTGTGTCCAATTTCAGAGGAAGTCTGTGGAAGGGTTTTGTTTGCTTCTTTTAACGTTTCCTCCAACAACAATTGTGTGGCAATTTCAGACTGAAGTTTCTCCACACAGAGTTTCAAAAATCTAGGCAGGAAATCTTAGCCAAGTCTGTGCAAATCAGGTACTGGGGACGATACATTTTAAGTGGTTAAGGCAATCCAGCTGTCCCTTCTGAACTAAAGTTTTAACACCTAGCAGAAAGCCACTGGAACATTTAGACCATGAATTAAGTTTTCAACTGTCAGCATGGTATGTTCAAGACACACAAAACTAACTTGGACACAGGTAATAGCGCAACAACAGGCAACTAATCTATAGAAGAGACTCACCTATGGCAAAAGGAAAATCACTCGTACACATTCTGCTAACCTTGGACTCTCCTGAGCTCCCTGACTCTTGTGTTTGCAGAGGCAGCATGTCTAAACACAAACCCATCTACAACATTCTTACTAATGCCAATTTCAAGAGAAGCTTCTTAAGTTTAAAGAAAAGGAAGTGCTACTGAACTGTGCAGGCAGCACTTGAACCAAAAAATAATCTTTCCTTCTATTCTGGGGACAAAAAAATCAAAAGGTAGCAGTTCAAGAAATCGAAAGATAACAAGTATAAAATCAAGAACTAGGAAATCCCACAAAGCGTTTCACAGTAAGAGATTAATTTGTCTCAGCAGTGAAATCTGCTCTGCCCAAATTAACTGGGGTTCCCAGTTCTATGCAGTACCTCTATATTAACAGGTATAAACTCATTCTTTTTTTAGAAGACTGAAAGCTATTGCAAAACCACACATCCTTGCCACCTAGTTCTTCTGTTCTGTATCTAACAAATTAATCCTCAGTATAGATTTTTATATTAATTGCTTCTCGATTAAGAAAGCTATCACTTTATATTAAGGTAGCTACTCTTCTAAAGTTGGTCCTATGGTTCGCAATGTTAACAATAATTTAATTCCTTTCCTAACAACCTATGAAAATCTGAGATGTCTGTTCAGAAACACACTACCTATCCACTCCCAACCAGTACAAACCATTGTAAATATAGTGCTGTACTTCTGGTATGCAAGTTGACAGTCACTAAAAGTCAAGAAAATGACTTGGTATATGACAAAGCAAACTTCAGTGAAAGAAAACATGACAAGTCTTACTTCAGAAGTGAGAATAAGCTCGACTGTCTACAATAAAGACTGGAAAAAATAATTACTGATGAAGTTCCAAAACTCTAATACAGAAGTTACCAATACTAAAAATACTTAAAATTTAGAGTGCTTATAGCACTTTTAAACATTCAGATACATGGCTCAATGCAGTTTTCCACTTGTGATTACAGAAAAAACCAAAACAGACCAAAAGTGTTTTGCAATGATTTCAGTAGACACAGAAGTTCAACAGCTTACCAAGAAACAGATTCATGGTGCTTTTTCTCTATTTGGAGGGTCAGAAGGGCCCAGGTTACATAAGACTACATCATCATTCACATAAATGTAGCTGCAGCTCCACTGAGTCAGTACTCTTTTTGCACAAACCCCAGACCTGACCGAAGCATATGAACAGCTCAGTGAGCTTCATTTTTGCCTAGAATCTTACATTTCAGCTAACACACAGGAATATTCTGTACCTAACTCTTGACTAAAATGTATCTTTATGACACTGGAAGTAGTCATTTTGTTTCTTAACAGCTTTTTTTAACAACTGAAAGTTAAAGACTTTTTGCTTATGCAGCTGCTACCTCTTCAGGCATGTCTATTGTAACAAAAAGTCACACAAGTTTCCAGGATAAATTTAGTGGTTGTTTTAAACATTAAAAAGCTTCTGCAAATGTCAGCTATCAGCATCAGCAGAACCCCAGTTTGCTCTCTTACCACTGATGTGCCAGGTACATAAAGAATTTGCTTGATTTTATAGCTTTGTCCCATACTGTTAATAAGCACACATACACACACTATCAACACTGCTGTAACCTTGGGGAACCCTGGACTTTCAGGTCAAGAATAAGAACAACCTCTGGTTGTATGGGAGATCGTTCTGTTTAGGCCTGTCAATTGCAAACGCCACCCTTGAAAATGAAGTTTAAAGGATGTATTTAAAGGTCAGCCAAAAAAAAACACAAACAAAAAAGGCGAGGTGAGGGGGTGACACTTGGTCATTTTGAAAGTTGGGCAGTGATATAAGGTTGTTCCACTTTCACTCTAAAAGATTATCATCCAAAAGCATGAAAGCATCAACTGGAAATACTTATATAGAAAAGGAACTTCCTATATGGAAAAGGGCTTCCTAAGCCCTTTTTTTTCCCCCCTCTAAACTTAAGTCAGTGGTAACACTTCATAAACTGACGAATCAATATTACTAGCCTTTCAACTTACTAGCATTAAAATGCTCACTTTGAAGTCCTGACAGACCGATACAAAATCAGTAATTTCGAACATTTAAATGATTGAACAAATGCATAAACTGAGAAAGCTTCACTTTTGCTAACTACAGTAACCATCCTGTACTAGTTAAGTTGCCAAGTGATGTTTATACAGAAAACAGCAATATATTAGTGCAAATATAACTATGTAATGTTATTTAAGAGTTTCTAGTTAAAGTATCATAAGCACCAACATAAGAAAAAATTATCAAGTCAGTCCAAACTTTCGAAGTTGAAGACTGCTACTACTGCAATTCATACAAGTAGCCCAAGCTTTTAAATGTTGTTACTAAGCATTTGGAATTTATGTAGTCACAACAAAATAAACTAAGAATGAAAGCAAGCAGAATAAACACCCTCTTATTTTCCTGAGGCTGAAAAGCCTAGCCAACTTCAAAGCTGATTTCTGGTAAGTTTTCATGGCCATAATGAACATGTGCAAAACTGATAGGGTATAAGGACATTGCATCTTAATTATACAAGTATTAGAACCTACTTGGCATAATCACTCGCCTTCCTGGATTCACTCACTGTGTTTTCCCTACCACACACTCTTTCGGGTAAGTTTCTACTGTGTAATCCACCCCATGACTAACTTAGCAGTATTTTAGACTGAATTAAACAACCACAACAGGCAAGCATGGCTACCCTTCACTTAAAGTATACACACTTAAAACAATAGTGAATAAACCCAACTAATAACAGTAAAAAAATTAGCAAATAATTCTTTTTTTTTTCTTCAATAAAAAACAAACATACCAACTAAATCTAACATAAAAAAGTGCCCACCTACACATCACTGGTTCCTTCGATTTTTATTGGGAATAAAATACTAAAATTATGACCTACAGAAGCGAGGATTTGATAGTTTTGTCGTCTCAACCAGAAATCGTTAAAACGTCAGCAAGTTTAAAAAAAAAAAAAAAAAAAAAAAAAGGAAGGGCTAAAAAAAAACCCGCAGGGTGTGGGATTGATATAAATCTGTGAACAAACCGGGATGAATAATGCCACACTTGGTCGTTCCTGACTACCGGCAGGGTCACGACACGACAGGTCCAAAGCACGAGCCCGGGGGTTCCCGGTGGGGGGGGGGGGGGACACGGCCCCGCCGCCCGCGCTGCCGGCCGGGGGCGCTGCCCGGCCCCGCCGGCAACGGGGGGTTCCAAGGGCAGCGGGATACGCTCGGGGTGGCCGCTGGAACCGGCGGCTCGGGCTCTGCTACCCCCGGAGCGGGGAAAAGCCGCCCGCGCGGCCGCGGGGGCGGAGGCTTCGCCGGGGCTCTCGGGAAAAAAAGCGCCTCAGCCCCGGCGGGCAGGGCGAGGAGGGGACGGACACGCGGTCTTGCCCCTCCGAGCGCCCGGACCCGGCGGGGGGGGCGGGGGCGCCGCACGCGGCCGCTCGGCCCCACACGCCGCCGCTGCGGGGTCGCGGCGAAGGCGACAACAACAACGGCGCCAAAGCCAGATCAGCGTGTCCTACGGGGCCCACGGCCGTGGGGGGGCCGGAGGGGGCGGGAGGGAGAGCGCTGCGCTCCGGCGGGGCCGCAGCGGCCCCAGGCCCGCACACTGCGGCAGCGGAAGCGGCGCGGGGGGAAGGGCAGGGCCCGAGCCCGGCAGGAGGGCCCGGGCCGGCACAGCGGGGGCCCCGAGCGCGCCCCGCGAGCTCCCGACTTACAACGGCATCGTCTCTCCGGCCCCTCCTCCTCCTCCTCCTCCTCCGCCGCCACCACCGCCGCCGCCGCCGCGTCGCCCCCTTCTCCCTCCTCCTCTTCCTCTGCGTCCTCCCCCACCGCTGCCGCCTGAGGACCGGTCACTCGTCCCGCGGAGCGGCGGGAGACGCGACCATGGCACGGGCCGGGGCCAGGCCCCGGGAGAGGAGGGAGCGGCTGTGCCGGCCCGGCCGCCGCCGCTTCACTCGCCTCTTCCCCTCCGGCCTTCTAACATGGCGCCCGGGCGCTACCACAGCAACGTCCCGGCCCGGGGGGGGCCTGACGCAGCGCCGCGGACACCCCCGCACGGCGCGCACGCTCGCCCGGCCGCGCGTGCGCAGGCGGGACGGCGGCGCCGCGGGGCAGGCTGGGAGATGTAGTCTCGTCAGCGCCGGCCGCGTTTGAAAACAAAGCGCCAACGGCCGAGGGGCGGCGCGTGCGCGGGGTGGGCTCGCCCGGGCGGTCCCGCAGCGGCCCTGAGGGATGGAAGGGGATCCCGGGGAGGGTCCTCGCGCCCGGCGTTGGACACCCGCATGGAGCGGTTTTTAATCGTGCCCCACACAGAGCAAACAGACCCTTTCCTAGTAATTGTTCTTTGAAACCTCTGCCCGTTACAAGTTGCATAAAATTTCGGAGAATTGAATTAAAAAAAAAAAGTCACACTTTATAGTTCAGCTCAAAACTTTATTCTTAGACAGGTAAATACATTGCAATAACTCTACAGAAAACCTCCCGTTTTACCTTATTTTGTCAGTGTCTGGTTTTCATCTTTACTCTGAAAAAAAAGGACTTTCAAACTAAAAAATTATCTGAAACTGCCGATTATTTAATTTTTAACTGCCTCACACGATAAATGGTAACCTGAGCTGACAGTACATAAGATAAATAGATCACAAAAAAATCTGTTTCTTTAGAGTAGGACAGGATGGTTCCAAACTCTTCCTGGCTATCATCACTGACCTGTCTGTGTGACTGTGTGAAAACAGATAAAATAAGACTCATAGTGTGTAAAAATATTAATATATCTCAATAAGAACATTGGGCATTCTAAAAATTCTGATACTAAAAGTTACAGATAAAACAGTTGTTTCTATGTCACCATTCTTTCAGTTCTTCCTCTTCCCCCCACCCCATTTCTCCCAAAAGGTCCTTGCCTTTTGTTTTGAAAAAATCTTGTATTTGTTTTACACCACGTGTTCTATCAGTTTCAGCTCAGTCAGCATAGATACTCTTTCTGCAAGAGCTGGATGAATCAATAAAATTGGGAATGACAGCCACAAGCTGAAAAGTCTATATTCTTCAAGAATCTATAAAAAACATGTAATATTGAATGATGAGGATAATTAAATGAGAACTACACCCATATTTTGGATACTAAAGTAAAACACAGGATTTCTGACATACCTGTACTGGGAAACTGTTTACAAGTCAGTCTTCAGTGCAGCACGAGAAGACTATATTGTGTGACTTTTTGCCTCTTGGTAACCAGGAGGGGAAATAAGTGCTGCTTCTATGTATTTCCGTTTTCAGTAAAAACACTATTTTTTTAATAATAGTTTTTCTCAAGCTGGCTGCTTACATTCACTATGGATTAGGAAAATACTATATTGCTTAAGTAGAATGTACATCTGAAAATAAATCTAGGATGAAGATTTTGAAGAGAGAACAGATTCTTATGGTTCACACTTTCAAACAGACATATTAAATACAGAGGTGTAAATGGATTAATAAACATGTGCAGTAAATGAAACTTTTATAAAAGAAATATTGAAAACCCAATACCACATAGTAATAAAGCATGAGAAATAAAAAGGAAGATTACATAATAAGCCTAACCAAAAATAATTTCAGAAACTAAGTATTTTTATCTAAAATGTATGAGGAATTTTCTGCATTTTTATTTCACAATTCCCATGGCTGCTAGGATTTAACGATTATTCCAGTCAATATCAGAACTGTTCTTGAAGAGATATTCTGCCTATAAACAGAAGAGTTTCAAAGTTACAATTATTTTTACATCTCCAACTTTGAAATTTATGCAAAATAACAAAATTATAGTGGATAACATTGCTTTAAAAAAATTGCAGAAAGTATTATATGGCTCTAAAACGTAATTTCTGGCAGTTATGTCTAAGAAATCCCTTTCCCACAAACACCGTCCAAAAAACCATTGACCTCATTCTCCCTCTTGGTAGCAGTCACCCCATTTCTATCGTGGGCAAGAGAAGAAAGTGAGCCATTTATAACAGTATTTATCACTCCATGGAAAAGCCTAGGGAGTACTATAGGGCCTGATTTCTGGACCCAGAGGAGTAGAGGATACTTAAAAGCGATGCAGTTACTAGGGAAGATTTCATGCTCATACAGCTACAGGTAATTACCACTCGCAAAAAGGTTAAAGTGAGAAAACATTCCTTAGTGCCTGAAGTGGCATTGCAACACTCTTGCTTTCATTTTAAACTTTTGCTTGGTTAATAAAATGCTCTGTTTCAGCTTGTTAATAACTTGCTAGGATGTGCAGGAGAACATGAGCACAGCAATAACGTTATAGCACCTGAATTACTGTCTGAATGTAATGCTGACCCTGCTTTCAAACGAAAGTTGAAATGGATAACTTCCTGACATCATTTGCAACTGGAATTATTCTGTAAATGTCCCATGGGATTTTCTCATTAATTTATCTCTGTGCTGTGAAGGGAATTACCAAGAGCTTGCATTCATCATTACAACAATATGTTTGGTTGTGCCTAGAGAGGTGGATGGAGAGTCACATCCCCCTTTCTGAAGGGTTAAAAATTTTATATCATTTGAAAGTAGACACAAGCAGCTAGAATTGTTAGCACACAAGTTGAACTTTATCTGAACCATGTGCAAGTCAAAGATGGATCACAGCAAAACCTGGTGCTAACAATATGAACATTAATAATAGTCAGAATAAACAAAGCTGCAGCTTAAAAATTACTTTAAAATTAATAGCTGGAGTGGACAGCCCATAGACTGTGTTATATGAACTGCAAAAACCATAGTATGGCATGGACTACAGAACAGACCGAAACTGCCTCCGAACCCTACCTAAGAGGGTGTGAAGGGGATCACTTAACAACCACTGGTAACCAAACAGCGAAACAATGGAAAGCAATAATAAGATCCCAGCCCCTTACATGGCTGTTGGTCCAGACTGTCCTGTGAGGGATGGGGAGTGTAGATTATCAGGGTGTAATTGCCCTGGAATTTCTTTTGTGGTACCTGGCTCAAGCTACCAGATATCATAACTGATTGTGCCAATGACCCTACTGGACATGAGAGCCTAGTGTCAAATGCTTCTTTAACTTGCAGGCTTCTCATGTCACAGCAGAATTGTCAGGGTACATAAGGCGTGCAGTGCACATACCAAAGGGAAACAGATTCTGATAGTGATTCTTGCCCTATTACTGTTTCACTAAACTGGATTATGCCCTTACTTGATACACAGTATCAACTGAACCCACAGAGAGTAGTCGCTGGGTTTTAATTTTCACTGTTTAATTGCTGTTCACCAGAATTGCAGATACAAGTTATTAATTAGTTTGTTATTATGACAGTGGGGAAAAAGAATTTAAGTCCTTATGTTAGTCCTTTGAGTCTAGATGAATATTGAAACATATTGAAGAAACAATGCATAACCACCTTACCAGAAAATTGACTGGATCTTCTGGCCTGATCCTACAGCATTCATTTATCCCTTGCATGAGTGTTGGCATGACATTCTTCATTAAATAGTTTCGTAATGGAAGGGATTGGGCCTCCAATAACTCTCGTTCTTGTCTTTGCACTTCCTCCTGCTGTTTATTCTACAAGTAATGAAAAAAATTTAAAAAAAATAAAATCATACATAATAAGGGTTATAACATCTACCAAATAGCACTTGGCTACATAATGATTATGGCCTAGAGGAAAAAAATTAGTTTTATAAGCTATAGGCAGAACTTTAAAACACAACTTGGCAGGAAAAAAGATCAACTGTTTATTAAATTTAAAACATGTGAAACACTGAGGACAAAGAATTAAACATGTTGACTACTGAAATAATCTTCTTAGTAAAATTATTTTATTTTTCCTCTTTAACACCTAAAAGGAGATTTATTCTGAAGTCTTCTAGTGGTCCTGTTTCCATATGGTACTTAGCAAAATTATTGAAATACACAGTAGCACCTCAAAAAATAGTACTATTGCAAATGCAGATAGTTTCTTCAGGGTTCTACTCAGAAGAGAGCCCTGGATCTCTAAATATTAAAACAGTAAATTGTGTTGTGTTTGGTTCCTTTGCTTTCATAGAATCATAAAATCATCCGGGTTGGAAAGGACCTCTGGGATCATCAAGTCTAACCCTTGATCCACTACCACCACAGCACTAAGTACCACATCCAGTCTCATCTCCAGGGGCAGAGAATCCACCACCTCCCTGGGCAGCCCATTCCAGTGCCTGATTACTCTCTCTGTAAAGAATTTCGTCCTAGTATCCAACCTAAACATCCCCCAGCAGAGCTTGAGACCATGCCCTCTTGTCTTACTGACAGCTGCCTGGGAGAAGAGCCCAATCTCCACTTGGCTACAACCTCCTTTCAGGTAGTTGTAGAGAGTGATGAGGTCTCCCCTGAGCATCCTCCTCTCCAGGCTAAACAACCCCAGCTCCCTCAGCCTCTCCTCATAGGACTTGTGCTCGAGTCCCTTCACCAGCCTCGTTGCTCTTCTCTGGACCCGCTCCAGCACCTCAATATCCTTCCTGAACTGAGAGGCCCAGAGCTGAACACAATACTCCAGGTGTGGCCTCACCAACGCAGAGTACAGGGGAAGGATCACTGCCCTGCTCCTGCTGGCCACACTGTTCCTAATCCAGGCCAGGATGCCATTGGCCTTCTTGGCTACCTAGGCACACTGCTGGCTCATGTTCAGCCTCCTGTCGATCAGCACCCCCAGGTCCCTTTCTGCCTGGCTGCTCTCCAGCCACTCTGTGCCCAGCCTGTAGTGCTGCAGGGGGTTGTTGTGGCCAAAGTGCAGGACTCAGCACTTGGCCTTGTTGAACCTCATTCTGTTGGAATCAAACTATTTCTCCAGTCTGTCCAGGTCCCTCTGCAGAGCCCTCCTGCCTTCTAGCTGATTGACACTCCCCCCCAGCTTGGTGTCATCTGCAAATTTACTAATGTGGACCCAATCCCCTCATCTAAATTATCAGTAAAGATATTAAACAGAACTGGGCCCAACACTTTATTTTTATTTCATTGATGTTTTTAAAGGGTTTGAAAGTTAGACTAAA